TGCTACATTCAAAGTCACTTAAATCTCCTTTCTTCCCCATTCTGATGCTCAGTTTGAACTTCAATAAGTAATTTTCACTACCTCTAGATGCCTAAATGCATTGAGTTACTGCCATGTGATTGGCTGATTAGCAATTTGTGTTACCAAGCAATTGAACAGATATACCCAATGAAGTGACCAGTAATTTTGTTGGGGATTCATATACCTTTATTAACATTTAATACATTATTCTGCACTTTTTCAGATTAACTGAACCAAATTTGTATAATCTGCATGTGAAGATGGCAAAAACTGGAGAACTGTAATAAAGCATTTTGCAAAGGAAAAGACTTGAAAACTGAGCATTTAGGATACCTATATTGGGAACTTCTGAATACGGCACCTGTTTGTCTGTCTTGTCTGTCATTGTGATCATCTGTCTTGTGAAATACGTTTGAAGATCAGGCATTTTGATTTGCAGCATGCTTGTTGCAGACCAAAGATTGATAGGGATGTCACTAGATCAGCATGATACCCAGACAATTGACATTTTCAGAAGTACAAGTCAGCAATGGCAGCTTCCATATTTTTTAGTACAAGTTTCATTTGAAGTCTCCATTGTATCTTCATTAATATTTAAGGCATACCTAAATCCCGAAACAAAAATGTAATATATTGCAGCTTATCAGTTATTAGATTTAGTGGGTGTATTTGTATTCTTCTGTTGTGAATAAAACACTTCCTGTCCCTGTATGTCTACACTCACCTTTCCATTGTATCTATGGGGACAGCCATGGTTGTAACACACATGCTGGGGCTTCAAAATGTTGAGCTTTGTTCATCATGGTTACATAATGGATTGATGGGATTAGCAGTTTACACACACACACAATTTACATATCAACTTTTGTTTTGGAGGTCAGGTTTTTAGGAGGTCACTTGAAAACACAATGACTCATGCACGAATGGGAAAGTTTAAAGTGTTGGGTGAAAAATACATTTCTTGTGGGGAAGTTTGTGCAAAAGTCCTTGAAAAAGATAAGAAAACCAGCACATTATGTGGTTAATTTACCGAACACAATTAGTCCTTTCACTTTAAAAGGGAATTTACCCTAGAGCTTAGTGAATGTGGATCCCAATCATGTTCAGCAAAAGTAAAAAAAAAAAAAAAGCATATTGAATTGTCTGTGATTGGATGATGGAAGTCAGTCAAGCTTCACCTCACTCACTACACTAAGGGAACATTTCCTTATAAAGTGGTCACGGTGCGCCATGAAGTCACTTCCAGTGCATGTTCTCTGGCTACCAAAGAGGTCCATCCTGCTCCTCTCATCCCTCTTGTAGGGTTTTCTCCATACTGCTGGCCTTGGACACCTGTACACCATCTATTGTGGCTCTCTCACCTTCCATCTATAGAGCTCACCATCCAGGCTCTCTATTGATATGTCTACTAAACAGTAAGCCGCTCCCATCATTCCTTCAGTCTATGGTTTGCACCGATCCCTGTATGACATCCATTCATGGATACATCCTGATGGTGATTCTTGCTTTTATTGCTTCATTAAACTGTTTTTCATTGTCTGCTGGTCATGCACATTATTGTTTTTTATGCAGGACATTCGTCATGAGCACTCTGATATTTTATGTTTTTCTTTTGGTGTTGGATTAGAGCATTAGTGCCTAGTAATTTCTTTATCCCTGTAAAGTAAGCATCCTATTTTCCTTTAGTAAATGAACCCCTGAGTGAAGATTAGGTGTTTCAATTGCTGGTGCTGTTTCCGACTGTTGCAAGAGGCTTTTTCCATGTCCAAAAGAAGAAAAGAATGTCAACAGTAAGACACAAGTTTACAGTTTGCCATACACAAAGCAAATTTCTGAAAAGAAAAGAAATCTGCACCATGCCTATAATATCCAGTTCCTAGCTGCAGTCACTCAGGCACATAAAGTGTTAAACCAATTGGAAGAAAAATGTGACAGTGCTGTGAAAAGACATTCAATAAATAAAATGCCGTAAGTAAAATAGAATGAACCTCAATTTATACCCAGTTCTAAAAATGTATCAATAATAAACCCTATATATATACAAATGCAGTGGTGTTCATCAATTAATCACTTCACAAAAGTGCATCATAGATTCATTACAAATGAAAAAAATCATCAAAAGATGACCCTCCAAAAATAGATAAATATGTAGTAAAATTCCACGTAAAATAACCTAAATTTCTTGTGTATAAAGTTCATCAATCAATGAATAGTGCCAAAAGTTCATATATCAAACTAAAGTGATACTAAAAAGTACTGGTCAGGCTTCCCCAGCCTTTGTTTAGAGCTGCACAACCTTATATGCATTGGTGGTCGAATTTTTCAAGTTCTGGTTCCATCCATCCACCCTTGCTCTGGGTCATAGAGTGCAGGAGAGATCGTTTCTGGTTCTACTAAAGTGATAGTAAACCCAGGACCCTGCATTCACTCTGGTCTCCCACAGAAATGGAAATGCATTTATTTTAATAAATATAAACTGCTAAATACCTTTTCTCATCAACAGTTAGGGCAGTCTTAAGACATCTATCAGAGTTCAGCAGAGCACTGGTTAAAGCTTGTAGGATGAGTTTTCTTTCTGCTCCAGGAGGATGCAGAACCCCTGACCTCTATCTGGACAGTGCTGATTAGCCCTGTGCTGATCACATGCACTCTTCCAAGGAAAAAAAAAAATCTCTCTGGCAATACACACCAAATTGAGCATGTGTAGCGTGACTCCACACGATATGTCTTATCAGGAGATAAGAGGGGGACACTGGAAGAAGGGAAGGATCAGAGAAGTCAGGATCAAACAGCCTTTTTACACAATGCAGAGGATTAACCCCTTAGGATCCACATTGAGTATAACAAGCATGCTTTACTGCATATGCAGACTGATTTTACTGTTGTGGGTTTAGTAACACTTTAAAGTATCTTATGTGCCAAAAATCATTTTAAAAAAATCATGAAATTAAAGTTCATACATCAAAATAAAGTGTCTAGTGCTGATAAATCTTCAAACCACATCCACCTTAAAAAGTGCTGCTGTGCTCATGGTGCAAAAAGTCCCTAATGATCACAATAAATTGAAATGTGTAGGACGGGGCCAGATTGGAGTGACATAATCCCATTATGTGCCTGTGCACTCACAGCCTGTGATGCGGCTGGAGCTGACAGTGCTACTGAGAGTCTAAGAATGTTTTACCTAGTGTCAGGTGGAGATACTCATCTGCATTAGTACAATGTATTTTATTATTTTAAATTAAATACAATATATTACACTATAGCACCATTTATCTCCTTCCCATGACATATATCCTCTGAGGAAATGATGGGTAGAGTGCAGGGGCGGACTGACAACTCATGGGGCCCCCGGGCAATAGGGGATCATGGGGCCCCTGTGTCCTCGCCCACAATCAAACCACACCCAAAAAATCCTATGAAAAGGTACCAGGGGCATCTCATGGGACCCCCTACTGACCCAGGGCCCTTGGGCAGTGCCTGAGTTCCCAAATGGTCAGTCCGCCCCTGGTAGAGTGCTTAACCCTTTGTGACCTGGTCTGAGAAGTTTATATCTGCTTTTTACACCATAAGCACTGTAGCACTTTAAGGTGGATGTGGTCTGAAGACTTATCAGCACATGATACTTATTTTAATGTATGAACTTTAAAGAGAAGCACAGATATCATGAATTGTAAGCACATAAGACTTTAATTTGATGTATAAACTTTGGGCACTATTTTTTGATTAATTAACTTTATACACAAGATAATTAAATTATTTTATTGATTTTTATTTTTTTGTGGGTTTTTACTACATATTTATATTTAATCCTGGGGTGGGGGGGGGGTGGGGTTTAATTATTTTAGTGATTTTTTTTTTGTTTTTGTGATTAATCTCTTATGTGAAGTGATTAATTGATGAACACTATTTGTATTTATAGGGTTTAATATTGATTAATTTTTAGCACTGGGACTGAATTGAGGTTTATTTTATTTTATTTATTTTAAAAGATTTCACAGCGCAATCACATTTTTCTTTTAACAGAGCAAAGTTCTGCTAGTTCCTGATGAATCAACATACGTTTGTACCATGGGTTCCCCTCCAGCCTGACATCATTTGATCTGAAATTCAAAGGAGTTGTGTGGAAAGTTGTCAGCCGATCAGTGTTTGCAGACAAATAAGCTGTAGCCAATGTTTGGGTATTCTGACAGCCGAGGATGCGAGCAATCAGAATACAATAGCCAGCAGAGGGAAGATTCCTTCATCCACACTATCTAGCATGGATAGAAGGATAGACTTGTTAAGCCCTGTGGGAAATCTAAATGTGTATGTCCAGGCTAAGGAGTATACATAGGGATAGGCAATAGTGAGCACCTGAATGAGTTCTCCTTCATAAACTAACCCTAGTGTGCTATGAAGAATTCATATTAAATGAAATATCATCATGTTCTTATATTGTTTCACTGTAAGATCCGAGTTGTGAAATAAACAGACCCAAGGGTCTTTCGATATTGTAGTTCCCGTTATCTCCTATATTTGTTGTATTATTCCTTGCCAGAACTCCTGTATTTTGGGACACTCACACCATATATGTGCCATAGTTCCTTCCATCCCTCACCCGCTCCAACATGTACAAGATGGAGGAACTATACCATATTGGAGAGGATAAAATGTAAAAAGGGAGAGATTGATGGTTTATTTTTCTTTTCTTTATTATTACTACTAGGCGGGGAAGGAGAGAGGAAGGTGGAGGATGGATGGAAAAGGCAGATAGAGGAACAGGATGAAAAAAGAGAATAGTAGGAGGTGTCTGGCCGAGGGAGGAGGGAAGGGGAAGGGATTTTGTCAATTTTTTTATGGAAAATGTTTGATTGTAATATTTGAATTAATTGTTTGTTTTATAAGGTAAAATTAATAAAATATATAATAATTATAATAATAATAATATTAATAAAAAAAGAATTCATATATAGACTCTGTTTTCTAAATTTGTCTTGCAGTTGAAAGCCCAAGTGCTGAAGATGCCAATAATCCTTATTTTCAGTATTATGAAAAAACAAGAAGTGAAATAGAAAAAACGAATGAAGGGTACATGAATATTCCATGATTGTAGTAGATTACATTGTATTTATACGTGTTTGACTTTTATCTGCTGTAAAGCAGATATTTGACACCAAAGCAAATTCACCCTAGTTGTCTTTTGGTGCATTACAGTGAGAATAAATACTATCTAATCTGGGGGAATAACTTTTTGTAAAGGTCTAACCTAAAGAGTACTATACGTAAACCCTAGTCAGTGAATGTGCCTTATTTGCTCCATTTTGGCCTATTAAATGTGTTGCTGGTGAAGTGTTTTGTTACAGCTGTTCAGTAAGTGTAATGACAATATCTGTTGAGTCTTCTGGAAATCTTTTGGGCCCATAACTTGCTGTGTTCTCTGTGTTTGCTGACCATTAGTTAGCATTGTTCACAGTTGAATCTCTGTGGACTAAAGAACACCTTCCCCATGCGTTATGGAGATGAAGAGAGAGGCAAGTGTTCTGTAGTCTTTAAAACACTTTCTGTGCTAGGGTTTCAATGCTTACTTGCTGTACCGTGTTTATAAAGGAGCAGCTTTGTCACCCTAGAACAGAAAGTGCTCGGTCACACCGGTGCAATTTCTGGTGTGATTTGCAAATTGACATCGCACCTGAAATTGCATCTAATGAATGTGAAAATCAGTGTCTTAACCTGTGCGATTTGCTGATTTCTAAAGTAGTTCTTGCATTACTTAATCATTGAAAATCTTCACAAGTAGAAATAAAGTCTTCAGAAATCGCATCTGAAATTGTGCTGAAATTGCACACAAATTACGTGATTTTAAATCACAGCGGTGTGACCGGTGACAAAGTGTGTTACTGGCAAGATCACCAACTGAAAATATAGGGAAAAAAGTCCTGAAAAAAATTAAAACAAATGCAGCTGTCATATCTAAAGAGTGGTAAACTACAATATATTACATTTAAAATATTTACTGTATTTGTGAATATATTTAATTCCACATGCTGGATTATATGTTAATGTTCAACTATTTTGGCTTTTTTATTAGAGATACAAAGTTGTCTTGTGGAAAGTCTCCCAAGGAAATGGTGGGATTCTTTGAACTGGTTAGTATGTCTTATGTATTTTTTCAAATTACTTTAAAGCCCTTTGCTGACTCAAACAATTGGGATGCATCTTTGCCTGAAATAAATAAATACATTGTTGCAGATTAATCTCCCACCTGTTTCCACTGCTGCAGACAGATGCTTAAAGCGGAGCCCTAGCCTCTGTTGAAAAAAATTAAAGTCAGCAGCTACAAAAACTGTAACTGCTGACTTTTAAAAAACAGCCACTTACCTGTCCTTTGATCCAATGGTGTCTTCACTACAGCCAGGTTCCCCAGCCGTTCTGTGTCCCCTGCTCCGGCATTTTAAGTGTGGGCACCTAGCTGTGACAGCTTGCGGCTTTACAGCTGGGTGCCCACTGCGCATTCGTGAAACGCAGTGCACATTGTAAATGTGAATTTGTGAAATTGTGAATGGTCCTGTACAGAGGCGGACTGAACATTAGGGTACGCGGGCACTGCCCGAGGGCCCGATGGGCAGTAGGGGGCCCCATGAGATGCCCCTGGTACCTTTCATAGGCTTTTTTGGATGTAGTTTGAGTGTGGGCGAGGACACAGGGGCCCCATGATCCCCTATTGCCCGGGGGCCCCATGAGTTGTCAGTCCACCCCTGGTCCTGTAGTCTTCTGGGACCTGTCACATGTCCCAGAGGACTATGGGGGGGGGGGAGAACTTCCACTTCCAATCGCCTAGGCGAATGTAGCAGAAGTGGGAGCAGCTCCCTGTCAAAATCGGGCACCTGCTCCCCAAAGGTGCACAATCCTTAACGAGGGGGGGGGGGGGCGAAGCCCCTACAGCAGAACTTCCCATATGTTATTCCCAATTTATCTGAAATATATTTTTAAAATATTCTTCCCAAATATATTGAATATATTTGAAATATACAATTTTGCAATATTCAATATATTTCAAAATATATTTCAATAAATAAATAAATATATACTGTATATATATATATATATATATATATACATACATACATACACTGCATGCTGAAATGCATTTTTATTACAAAATATATGAAAAATATTTTCAAAACTACATTTCAAATATACTGTATATCTTTAAAATACAAATCTGCATTTTTGGAATGCATTTACAAATATATGTAAAATATATGTTAAAATTACTTTTTTATATGTTAAAAAAAATCTGAAGAATATATTTTAAAAAAGTTGTTTTTGTAAAAATATATATTTGTTAAATATATTCTTCAGATTTTTTTCCTTCCTGGGAGGATGTACAGGGAATCACTGCTATTATTATGTCTCTTTGTTGTTACAAACTGGCTGTCTAGGACCTCTGAACAGCATGGTCACCTATTTGGGATGCTCAGTACATTTTACCATAAGGCTAGGTTCCCACCTCTGTGTGTTGTGATTGATGCGTTTTTCTGTTGCATTGTGTGGTGCATTTTTGCTGCATTTTTTATGCGTTTTGCATTTTTTTCTGCCAATAGGAATTGACTTTGATGCCACTTTGATGTGACTTTGGATTAGTGCAACTTTGATGCGGCTTTTGATGAGTGGGTCTTTCATGCGACTTTGGATGAGTGCGACTTGGATGCAACTTTTGATGGGTGCATCTTTGATGTGACTTTTATGCAACTTTGATGTGACTTTGGATGGGTGCGACTTTAATGCTATTTGAGTGCCAGAGAGTGTAAAGTGACACTACATAAATAAAACTGTCATACATTCCTATTAGCAAAAAAAAAAAAAAAGTTACATCAAAATCACACCCATCAAAAGTTGCATCAAAGTTACACCCACCTAAAGTCACATCAAAGTGGCATCAAAGTCAATACTTTCATATTGGCCAAAACCCCCCAAGAAAAAGCATTAAAAAATGCATTAAAAAATGCACTGCATGCATTACTGCTGCATGTCCATTGAAGTCTATTGAACCAAAATGCACCTTTCCAAAAATGCAGCAGCTAAAGTACGCATAGTTGTGTATGCATCCCATAGGAAACCATGTTCAATGGACTATAGTGCTTTGCTGCAAAATGCACTAAAAATGCATAGGTGTGAACCAGGTCTTAAAGGGCCCACCTGATAAGGCAGAGGTGGATGGGCAAGTGATCCGCAGCCAGGTGAAAGGCCCTTCACTCTCAGAACCAGCATGAAGGTAGCCAGACAGGTTCTTAAAAGCATGCAGCTTCTCCAGCTACTGTGGGGAGCCCTTCCAGTTCCAGTGTGGTGGCCCTTTGTCCTTTGATTCCTCCAGCTGTTCAACCTATGTTACCAATGCCACCTTGGACTTCATTGACTGGGACAGTCAAAGAGTATGATCACAGTATCTGTTTGTGTTCTGAACACTTTTACTGAAGTAGTAATTCTCAGCTTGACTCTCTGTTGTTATAGAGTCTTGCAGAGACTGTTATGCAGCCACACATTACCCTGATTGAGTCACAGAGCCATTGCAGTGAACAGTCCAAGTTTGTGCAGCTTTCATTATTATGTAGTAAACTGCAAGTCACATTTAGTCCTCATGCACACTGGACATTTTGATAACGCTGGTAACGTTAGCTGTGTAAAGTCACGTGAAAAATGTGTGTTTTTCAGCTTTTTTAGCGTTTTTGCATTAGCGTTTTGCCGTATTTTCCTGCATTTTTCCACGTTTTTAGCGGGGTTTTTTTTACCCCCCAAAAATGGGGGAGGGGGGGTTTAAAAAAATGTCCAAAAATGCCGGTTTGCTGCATTTTACCGCATTTTGCTGTTTTTCAACGCTAGAGCATTTTTACAGCTAAATAACTCCTCTAGAAACCCACTAGTCCTGTTTTTTTTTTCCAGCCAAAACAGTCCCTGACAACAAATGTTGATTACAGTCTATGTGTGCATGGACACATAGGATAACATCCTCCAAAAAACATTAGTGTTTTAAATAAATAATTATAGTGTCCAAACATAAATTAGTGTCCAAAAAATATATATATATCTTCAGTGACTTCGTCACTGAACCGCCCCTTGATGACATCGGTGTGACGAAACCGGTTGGGCGTAGCCTACTCGATGTGGACTTTAGAGAGCCTTGCTGTTCTGTGCTGTATGGGAGAGATCCGCGGTGAGCGTTAACTGTATCTCAACCCTTTTTTGCGATTGAAGCTGGTGTCTGTTGGACACCTTGTTTGTGAGTTTCCTTATACCTTTTTTATTAAAGAGATAAATGATGAAAAAAACGTATTGCACCATTATGTTCTCTTTTTTGTCCCTGAGTGTACTGCATGCTCTCATGGAGGTATGAGAAAGAGTGGAGAAGTTCAACATAAGAGCTTGGGCTGCAAAGTTGTTTGTCTGTGATTATTATCTGGAAGTATCTGAAACATCACCACATCTATTTGGACATCGGGTTCATTGCTCCCAGAGCACAAGCGCTGTTGCTGGTTTATAATCTGACCAGCCATTAGCTCTGGTGAGTTCATTTAATCTCCTTTGGTGGTGGATTTTTCACAATTGGTTCAAGTCACTGAAGATATATATATATTTTTTGGACACTAATTTATGTTTGGACACTATAATTATTTATTTAAAACACTAATGTCTTTTGGATGATGATATACACCTTTGTATAAGTTTGTTATTAGCGCATACCTTTTAATTAGGATTATTGTTGCCAAAATTTATTTTGGGATGGATATGCTGCTGACATTTTGGTGTTTTTTGTAAGTGGCGCTTTTTTCTTTTTTAATTTGACATAGGATAACATGCTGAGGAGTTTACTGGCTGTAGAAAAAAATGTCAAAAGCCGAAAACAGCCACTGTAAAAACTTCCAGTGTGCATGAGGACTTAGTCAGCAACAAACTTAGTCCTCATGCACACTGGATGTAAATAGGTAAATTGCGGTAAAACTTGATAAATCATGGCAAACCATTGTTTTTGGACTTTTTTTTGGTAAAAAAAACGCCAAGTGAAAAAACGCGTCAACACTCCGCTAAACACTACTACAAAAATGCTAACAAACGCTGAAAAACTCCCGTTTTTAACGTGACTTTACACAGCTAATGTTACTAGTGTTATTAAAATGCCCAGTGTGCATGGACCTAACTTATCATTGGCCTGATTACCCATTCTATTGAAAGAACATTATGGAAAGGGTGGGAAATTGATCAAAGGCAATATAGCCGCGGTAGAACTCCTATCCTAAGGCTGAATTTACACCTGAGCAGAGCAATTTGCAGGCCTTTTTTTTTATAATTTTTGAGCAATATTAAAAGTGTAATATAAGCATTTTAGAAATGTACAGTATTAGCTGCATTTTATAGCTTCAGGAGTTTTTGTTTAGCTAACAGAAAGCACTAGAGGGAGGAGAGGTGAAGGAAATGAAGGGTTGAGAGCTGCTGTTTAAGCAGAAAACGGTTGTAAAATGCTCATGTCGTGGTTTCAGGTGTTTCCATTGAAGCCTATGGGGCTAAAAACTCCTGTAATCTGCCATGTACTTTTTTAGCGTTTTGTGACAGTTGACAGAATGCTCAGATGTGAACAGGGCCATTGACATGAATGGGATTTGGCTTGTTGACTGTTTTGGAGTGACAAGCTTCGAGCAGAAAATCGCTCAGGTGTGAATCTAGCCCAAGTTTTATAGCATTCACAAATTTCTTGTCTCAGTTTGATGAATATGTGTGCCTGAGTCTAGGTCCACTTTAAAGCAGTGTAGGCACAGGCAACTCTTTGTTCTTGGTAACTGCTTTCGGAGGTCATATAATTTGCATACTGTTAGGTCTTCACAGAAACTAAATCAAAATGATTATTAAGAATGCCTAACAGCTTGCTTCAGAAGCTATAGAAACTTTTTGTTCTTTAAACCCTTACCAACATTCATTTATGCAGCCATTCATGATGAAATGCAGATTTCATATACAGTATATACAGGTTATGTTTTGCCACAGATACTAATTACTTTCCTTCTCTGTAGTAATTGAGGAAAAGGCAGAATCTGATGAGGTTCTTTTAGAAGGCACAGTTTCTCTCCCAGAAAATGTTATGAGAATGCACCAATGCTAATATTTGTTCTTTTGCACTTACTGTATACTGATTTCCAGCTGCGTTACGCAGATGCCTTTGATATCTTCCTCATGGTTGTTGGCCTTATGTGTGCTGCAGCGAATGGCACAGGTCTGCCCATTCTTATCATTGTATTTGGAGACATGACTGATAGCTTTGTCCTGAGTGGAATAAATATGAATGGTAAGTGTAAATATATGTATACAGTTTATGAATCTCAAAAGATCCTGAAAACAAGCTAGTGGTCCCTGGTGGAAGTGAAGAAAATGCAGTCATTACAGCATGGGGGGGGGGGTCATATTGTGATACCATCATGGGCTGAGAACCCTGGGTGTCATCAACAGGTAATGTAGGCTCCCCTGAGGTATAAGCCCCTTATGATCTTCATGAGAAAACCCTACAAGGATGTACTAAAAGGTGCATCTAGGTCATGTCCCCAGTTTTGCCCTGTTGGTGACAGCTGATATGCAGGCGGATAGGTGCAATAATTTGCAACACATAAGGCAAGAATGAGATGGGGCAGACAGCATTCAGGCAAAGCCATAACACCAGTCAGGGCAGATGGCAATCAAGAAGGATTATAAGTCTTGTAAATGTCAGGGTAGGTGGAAGACAAGCAGCAGATTCCAAACACTGGATAAGTTGTAACCAGAAAACATGAAAAAAATGGCCACTTGTAAAACTATGACACCTGAAGTTTTAGCAGTTCCTCCATCCATACATCATTTAGCCTATGAATGACCCACCATTGCCCACCCAATGCTGAGATATTATATCTTTTAAAGGAATTGCTTTTGATGTATATGTTTTCTTGCAGCTTCAATTAACACCTCTGGTTGTTCGGAATTCCTCAAGACTGATATAGAAGATGAAATGACTAGGTAGGTAACATTTGCACATTCTATTACACTGATAGCCAACAAGTTGTTTTTCTTTAAGTTCTTGCTGATGTTATATTGCACATACGCACTTTAAGTGTGATGAATTTTTAGTGATGTGTAATAGTTGCCTTTTCTAGCTGGGTGTTTGATTTCTCTCACTTGATTCTGGAAGATGCTTCCAGAATATAGGGCAGGGAGAGTCAAATGTCCAATATGAAAATGTATTATGTCCCAGCCAATCCATAGAAAGAGACATCCAGAATGCAACTGAGTGGCTGAGGGTTCCTTTCCTGTCCAGGGAGAGTTCCAGTTCTCCTGGGGCTGCTGCCCCTGGGAGATAGATGTGACAAGAAATTGTAGTCTGGGCTTAGCAGGTGCTGAGCTGAGGACTTGGAGAAGATTACTGATATATTTTTGCTTGAGGGCACTGTCCTTAAGTCCTGGTCTGCAGGAGGATCTTTTGTCTTCTTTGAGTGTCTACTTGTGGAAGCTGGGTGGCAGACAGCTAATAGGACATTGAGTAAGACCTGTGTTTGGGACTTGCATGTGTGTTGAGAGCTATAAGGATTGGTGCTAGAAGTATGTGCTTCTGTTGGTTGTTTTGGAGCATCCTGGACCCCTGAACCCCTCTGCTATTTCAAGCTTTTCAGAAATAAATTCTAAAAAGACATTCCCTAGACCGAGTTTGTATTATTGGTGTGTAGGAAACTGTAGCTGGTAGCTTCTACACTAGTAAAGAAGACCTGGGCATATTTTCAGCAGCCACTTCATGGGTGAGCGCTACACATTGAAGGAATTGCAGCAGCTTGAAAGAGTCAGCAACTTCTATTTCAATGAAAAACATCCATATTTTTTGGTCCATGTTTACTTTAACAATTAATTTAGAGCAAATATTAGCTAATTCAACTAAAGTCTATACTTGACTTTTCTTTATTAAAATATGGGAAAGGACAGCTGAAAATGATGTTAAATAACATTGTGCTTGAAACATAGCATAGATTGACATGTAGCACTACCCACTTAGGAGTTGCTGAGTTTTGGGTCCTCCTACAGCTCTGCACAGCCAGACAACATGTATTTTCTTACACACATTGCATTCAGAGTCAGTGAAAAGTCAGTGAGCTTGGTTTTGTGATTTTATTAAAGGAGTCAAAACTTGGATGGGGTTAGATGGGGTTAAGGGGTGTATGGGATGTCCAAGGAAACTGCAAACTTGATGACAAACTCCTTAGCAACTATGTACAGATGTGGACAAAAATAGTCTCCTTTAAGAGCATTCCAGCACTCTGCTGTACCTCCTCAGACCCAAGATGAATGGTCCTCTTCACCCAGCTGTACTGAGGGTATTCCCTGGGCAAGGGGGTCAGAAAGTTTTCCACCTGACTGCCCTCTCCTCTTACCCGGCCCAGGGGGTTTAAGAGAACTCACACTGTCCTCTTCTGATAGCCCAATGGGTTGGTGGCTGCCTTCAGACATCTCACTGGACTGGTTCCTTCTCTGCTACTTAGGATTGTCCTCCCTTGGAGATGGTGGTACAGTGGAGATCCTCTTCTCCAGCAACTGCCTGTAGATAGGCCCCTTCCCTGGGCCCCCTCCCAGGCTCCACACTCCAGCCACTCATTCCATAAAAAATAAATAAATATTAAAAAATAGAAGAAAAAATAGAGAAAAAATTCCCGAGATCAAGGTTTGTTCTAGTTCAGTGCCAGGGTTAGTATTTGGGTCAAGGTCAAAGGTCAGGTCAAGATTTTTTTTAAATTGGTATGAGTGTCAGTTAGTGTCAGTGTCAATGCGTTTTAGTTAAAAAAAACAAAATGTGTACTGTTGTTTCTGGGCTGTAGTACAGGTACAAACAACAAATAACATATACATATATGGTATCGCTGCGATCGTCAAGAGCTGAAAAAATTTTTTGGGGTTGTTCTTTGGTGGTAGGTTATGGTAGTAACAAGAAACATACAGCTAAATTTAAAACATTTTTACTATTTGGCCAGCTTTCCTTTGATAATAAAACAAAATCAGGAGATATCCATTACCATTTACCACCAAATGAAAGCCCAATTTGTTCTGAAAAACAAGGTATAATTCACCTGGATGTACAAAGTAGTTGTGATGATATGTACGGTTTTACTAACACATGTCAAAGTTGCAAAATGGTGCTTAGGCATTAAAATTTGTTTTACCCTTAGGCTTGAAGGGGTTAAGGGTTGCTTTGGTCACCATGCCCGGCCTCTTATTAGAGGATTGGCCAAGGTTCCTCAAGTATGCAGATCCCAGCTTCCTCCCCTCCTCCAGAAAACTCCAAGGTTTTTGGAGAGGTGAGAGGGCTCCAGAAGCTCTGACCTTCAGAACCTCCCTAGCCTGCACTGAGGTGAACTCCTGCTTCACTCACAGGCTGACTCATCCCAGGCTGCTACTAAGGCCTCTGCCTAGAAAAATAAAACAACAAATTGCTATTTAACTAACCTGGAGGGCGTTACAGACAGTATTATATTTCGTAACCCCTTCCCAAAAAGCTTACACATATATGTGGCTCTTTATTCATGAGGCCACATATATGCACTGCTGTATTTGTGCTGAGAGTGCAGTGCACAGCATGCTCCCAGCACAGAGACAGAGCTCTCACCAAAAGTTCCAGGTTTCAAATTAACGATTGGGAATCGGTAGGCACGGTTCCCAATCACCTGATTGCTGTGATAGCTCTGATTAGCTATCACAGTGATCAGTCACTGTACAGCCTACTCCTGTTTTGTTTTCTCCTCTTTTTCTCCTTGCTAGAGGAGAAAAAGTGTACATTAAAAAAACTCTTGTTGGCCAGTGTTTTTAGGGTGTTTTTGTTCCTCTGTGTAATTACACAATTTTCAGTAAAGCACGTTTCGTAATTGTTCATTTGCAATACTGGACTGTTCCTGGAAATACTGTAGGGTAAAAACCACTATAGGACGAGCTGGGAGTGGAGTCTAAACCAGGTTTTTTATGTGATTGGATATATCAAGGAAAGAAAAGAAAAAATAGCTAGTTTAGGTTTGGGTAAAGTCAGTGTCAGGATTAGAATTAAGGTCAATATTAGGGTCAAATGCCATGGTCAGAGTCAAAGATCAGGGTCAAAATTCAGGTTTACTGTATTTAAATGGGATTAAAAAAATAATTTTTTTATTTAGTAGCAGTGTCAGTGTGTTTTAGGCAGGATTAAAAAGATAAACATGCACTATTGTTTCTGGGCCTTAACATACACATATCTGATATTGCTGCAATCAACAGAAGCAGTAGAAAATATTTACCATTGTTCTTTTGTGGTACGTTACAGTAATAGCCAGAAATATACAGCTAAATGTTAAAAAATCATTTTTTTCTGTCAGTTTTTCCTTTGATAATAAAAAATCGGGAGGTATCCATAATCATTTCAAAGAAAACTCACCCAAGCTCTGTGTGAAGAGTAAGAGTGGGAAGGCAGTGCTCAGGCTGAGAAGTTCACTGAAGGCTATGTGGTAATATAGACAGCAACATGATCATTTCTTCATAAGTAATCTTTATTGGCACACATTGGAAATTATATAAAAGTTAACATGTTTTGGCCAAAGCCTCCTCATAGCATTTACCAACAAATGAAAGCTCAGTTTGTCCTGAAAAAAAAACAGGGTATAATTCATCTGAACACACTTAGTAATCGTGAAGAAATGTACAATTTCACTAATTAATGTCAAAGTTGCAAAACTGTGTTCAGGCATTAACTGCTTAAGGACCACCCTATAGCATATATACTGCTACAGGGGCAGCACCTGTGCGAAAAATCACATATATATACATTATTATTATTATACAGGATTTATACAGTTGCAAGAAAAAGTATGTGAACCCCTTGGGATTACATGGAGTTTTGCATGAATTGGGCATAAAATGTGCTCTGAACGTCATCTAAGTCACAACAATAGAAGAACACAGTGGCCCTAGCTTAATGACTTCTCCCAGAGCTAATTGGAGCCAGGTGTGAGCCAACCTTGACTCCAATCAGTGTGATGATATTGGATGTGTTGCTGACAGCTGTCCTGCCCTTAAAAAAAACACACACCTGTTTTGAGTTTACTGGTTTCAAGAAGCACTGTCTGATGTGAACCATGCCTCGCAGAAAAGAGCTTTCAGAAGACCTACGATCAAGAATTGTTGACTTGCATGAAGCTGGAAAGGGTTACAAAAGTATCTCCAAAAGCCTTGATGTTCATGTGTCCACGGTAAGACAGACTGTCTACAAATGGAGAAAGTTTAGCACTGTTGCTACTCTCCCTAGGCATGGTTGTCCTGTAAAAATGACTGCAAGAGCACAGCGCAGAATGCTGCATGAGGTAAAGAAGAATCCCAGAGTGTCAGCTAAAGACCTACAGAAATCTCTGGCACATGCTAACATTTTTGTTGACACATCTACAATAAGGAAAACATTAAACAAGAATGGAGTACATGGGAGGACACCACGGAGGAAGCCATTGCTGTCCAAAAAGAATATTGCAGCACGTTTGAAGTTTGCAAAAGAGCACCTGGATGTTCCACAGCACTACTGGCAAAATATACTGTGGACAGATGAAACCAAGATTGAGTTGTTTTGTTTACAAACAGTCTTCCTCCCTGTCATCTCGTCACACTGCTGGGGGTGGCTGTGCACAGCACAGCCATCCCGATCAGTGTGCTTACAGTAAAGCACACACACCACACCCCCTAGTAAAACACTCCCAGCACATAGTTAACCCTTCGATCGCCCCTCACATTAACCTCTTCCTGCCCAGAAACATTAGTACAGTTTCAGTGCTTTTTTTTTAGCACTGATTACGGGATTGGTGTCACTGGGGATGTCAATGACATCAAGTTAGTTCCCCCCCAGTGTAAGAATGTCCACTGCAGTCCCGCTAAGGCTAGGTTCGCATATGGTGCTGCTGCGGATCCGCACAAAAATCCGCGCAGCCACACCACCCACACAGAGATATGCGGACCCGTGGGCGGGTGCCATTAATTCTAATGGCACACAGCTCGCACTGGAAATCGCAACCATACTGGGAACCGAGGTTCCCATGCTGGCTGTGTTTTCAGATGAAGTGCAGGGACTTCTTCCCTGTGTATCCTGGGGCATGGGAGTCCATTCAAATGAATGGTCTCTTGTGCTCGCGCAAAACACGAACTGCAGGAACGCAGATATGTGAACCAGGGGTAAAAGTCACTGATCGCTGCCATTACTAGTAAGTATTGGGATTTTTTTTTAGCAAAGACATAGTAGAATACATTTTGGCCTAAATTTATGACAAAATTTGATTTTTAAAATTTTTTTACTAGACACGTTTAATAGCAAAAAGTCCAAAATATTGTTTTTTTTTTCTCAAAATTGTTGGTAATTTTTTCTTGCTTATAGCGCAAAAAATAAAAAACGCACAGGCGATCAAATACCACTGAAAAAAAGCTTAATTTGTGGAAAAAAAAAGATGTAAATTTCATTTGGGTGCAGCATTGCATGACCGCGCAATTGTCAGTTAAAGTAATGCAGTGCTGTAACACAAAAAATGGCCTGGTCAGGAAGGGGGGTAAATCCTCAGGAGGGCAAGTGGTTAACATTTGTTTTACCATCCAGCATGAGGGGGTTAATATCCCTTTACAGTGAAGAAAGAGAAACCAAATGTCCTGTTTGTTCAATTCTGTGTATTGACATTGTAAGAAAATGTTATGGCATTTCTGCTTTATGAGCTTTAAAGTGGAAGTAAACTCACCTTTGTATTTTTACCCACAGGTAAGTGTATAATAAAGCTAATCTGTAGGTAAAATGATTCCTGGATTCCTAAATGATCTCCTAGACGTGCACTGTTTAGGAGATATTCGCTATTTATGACAGGTGGTGCATGCACTCTGAAGGAACAGCATACCCACAGGGCCGCTGATAGGGGGTACCCCCGGCCCTCCTGTAGGGGGCCCAGCACCATCAGCCCAGGCAGCTGACAAGCCCATCTGCAGCCTCCTGTCATTCTATCACACAGCAGCTCATTGTTGTGATGTTAACTATTTATTTACTTGTCTAGTTAATGTGTCCCATTTCCTATCACCTACAGCTCAGCTCTCGCATTATTATAAGTATCTCACCACTAGTCTGACTGAATTCACAATTCCTGGCAGTCCCATTCCCTTACCTATAATAACCTTTAGGGCCAGTTCACACTACATGCATTTCAGTTGCTTTTTTTTCTGCAACCAAAATGCACAGAAAATAGATTATATAGTTGTCAATGTCATAGTTCACATCAGTGCTTGCAGTTCCAGTGCATTCTGGTTGCAGAAAAAAAAGTAGAACATGCTGCATTTTTTTTGCATAGAACTGTACTGTAACGTGGTACAATGCATCAAAAATGCACCAGAACGCACCAAAAATGCACTGGAACGCACATGTCCATAATTAAATTGAAGAAAAGGAGAGGGGATACAATTTACTGGAATGCATACAAAACACACTGGAACCTGTCAAAAACGCACCAAAACACGGACCCATCTGTTACGCTGTGGGGACACAGCAGCTGTATGAACACAGGTTTCATTCTGACAGGTGTGAAGGCATGGGGAAGTGGGCCTGAATGCTCACTGTTTGTGTTCAGGGCTGTACACCTGCACCCACATGCCTATCAAATTAGAACCTGCAGTGTATCCATAGTGTAACATAGGTTACCTGCAAACAGCTCCAAGCGACTCCAGCCACATAAACAAAACCACTGATTCACACTCTACAGGCCACAGTACCCATGTGAATGAGCCCCAAGACCTTAATTACACACAGAGCTTTATTTAGTAACCACTTCAATACCAGGCACTTATACCCCCTTCCTGCCCAGGCCAATTTTCAGCTTTCAGCGCTGTCACACTTTGAATGACAATTGCGCAGTCATGCAACACTGTACCCATATGAAATTTTTATAATTTTTTCACACAAAGAAAGCTTTCTTTTGATGGTATTTAATAACCACTGAGTTTTTTATTTGTTGCTAAATAAAACAAAAACATCTGAAACGTTTAAAAAAAAAAAAACCCACACTTTTCTTCATTTCTGTTATAACATTTTGCAAATAAATAACATGTCTTCATAAATTTAGGTCAAAATATATTTTGCTACATTTTTTTTTCAAATGTTTCTATTATTTTTTTTATTTTGTATTAAATTTTTTTCTTTTTTTTTTTTTACTATTTTATTTTTCAGCACACTGTGACCAAAGCAATACAATGTTACCATAGTAACATTGAACTACTCAAATCCTGCAAATCCTGCAAATGATCAGGATTTGTTTTTTTTTGTTTTTTTTTAACACATTATGATTGCTAATACAAATGTATTTCATTGATATTTGCAATCATTGTTACTGAATGAAACTGATTCATTTAGTCTTTTGTTGTGATTAGCTGTGAGTGGGCAAAGCTGATCACATGATACAGATGGGCTGTGATTGGCCCTGTCTGTATCATTAGACTGCCTTGACCAGTCACAGCTAACAACATAATTGTATACAATGGATGGCACGATAGGAAGCCATCCATTGTATACAATTGACATGTGATCTGCTGTGATTGGTCACAGTGGTCACATGACACTGGCAACGGGCCGGCGTAGTGATATGTTATTGGCTGTGTCCGGTGGATACAGCCGGTGACAGATCGCACCCAGTCACAATAGCGATTGTCCCACCCATCATTCAATCTGCTATAGGCCAGGTGGGAACGTGTTAACTCAGTACAGTTTTATCATTTAGATTTAACTGGAATTTTGTTGGGATTGTGTACATTATTAACATTTTTAGTGTATTTTTACCATAAATATAATTTTGATATTTTCTCTGGCAGTGGGGGGGGGCTGTCAGGTAAGTTTTACGGGGCATATTTACAGCGGCCCTGCATACCCATGCCGTTTCTTCAGAGCACTGTGCCATGGCCCGAGACTCCCACATGCATGACGTCATAGTGGCTCGGCCAGGCAAACTGCAGGAGCTTGTGAACCCGGAAGGAAGGCGATGGAGGCCTTGTCAGTGATGACAGCATGCCGCTGGAGAGCTTCATTTTAAGGTACGTCTTGCATACTAGAACATTGTGTCACATTATGACATTACCTTGCAGGGGATTTTTCAAGTTGTGGTTTACTACCACTTTATGAGATAGTAGGATAGTAGAAGGAGTTGAAGCAAGAAGTTGGTGTGTTATAAAGATGGCAACCTGTTAACAGTCTGACTGCACTGCTGAAAAACAACAAATACTTACGTCTTTTTATTTTCCTTTCCTTTTCAGGTTTTCCTATTACTATGTGGCATTAGGAAGTGCTGTTTTTACCTTAAGCATTTTCCAGATTTGGACATTTTTGGTCTCTGCTGCTCGGCAAATTATGAGAATTCGGCAGAAGTTTTTCAGAGCGGTTCTTCATCAAGAAATGTCTTGGTTTGATTCCACCCAGATTGGAACCTTGAACTCTAGACTTACTGAGTAAACAGCTCTACATATTTAATACAGAAATAATAATCAAAAGCTAGCTGTAGTGCATTATGATCAGAGCTTTGGACCAGGGGCCAATAGCTGTGGACTTAGAGATCTTTGCTATGCACATTCCATCATCTAAATACAATCAATAATGTGATGGCGTAAGGATGCTACATTAAATTTGGGAATAAGCTTTTGTAATTTACAGTATCAGTAAATTGGAATACTGTATAAATTAAAGGAAAGGATCATGTAATATGGAAGAGGATGGATTAAGTAGGACAGGTCAGTGAAAACAGCAGATATTCATTAAAATATGGGTGACACACAGATGCAAGCTCGAGATGAAATAGGGTTAGTAGCACAAAGCAGCACAAGCATTTTTTTGTCGCATGTGTCCCCGTGGGGAGATTTCTATTCACTTTATGTCCTAGACATGCAATAGGAAGTGAAGGGAAATCTCCCTAAAATGAGAGGAATCACCCTCTTATATAGTTGTCACTAGAACAAGTGTCCCAATTAGAAGACTTAGCTTTAATTCTTGTTCTGGGAACCACTCTCACATTTTTTAATCCCCCTCACTTTTTGAAAATATTCAGCTGGACAATAGAAAGGTGAATCCCCCGAGCAGAAACACATAGCGATACCTGCAATTTGACCTAACAGCTGGTCAAATGTTTCCCCACTCTATCCAAAATAAAAAAAAAAGTTTTTCCTTTTCATCTCATTTACATTTAAATAGAACAACCCCCTTCCCAATTCAGGTATATATTCTGTGAACCTTTGAAGTCAGGGTTTTGAGTCCTTTGCTCAGACAGCTTTTGTTTATTTCTAGTGACATCAATACCATCCATGAAGGTCTTGCTGATAAGATGTGCATATTTGTGCAGTTTCTCAGTACTTTTCTATCTGGAATTATCATTGGATTTGTGTATGGTTGGAAGCTAACTCTGGTCATCTTGTCAGTTAGTCCACTGCTTGGTGTGTCAGCAGCAATCTGGACCAAGGTATGTGTGTATATATCTATAACCAACCGCCACCGCACTGTGGAGGCCAATGATTTATTAATAGTGACATCCAAATCTTCAGGATTTTATGGTGGAGTTGAATAATAATAGGAATACTCTGTTTGGCTGAGGAATATACCTAAGGGTCAAGTTATGAGGGTGAGAAAGAACTATACTAAAGATTCAGAGTTTCCAGCTCAGTCTCAAATAATTAAAGAAGTATTTCTTCAGAAAGATTATTCTAGTAGATTAGATTTTAATAAACGTTGGCATGTGTTATGCATGGATAGGGTGTTGGGACCAATTCTACCAAAAACTACAATATTCATATATAGGATGACCTCAACTTGTGCAGATTCGTTAGTCAAGAAAATTTTAGATCTTCCAGTTAAATCCACTTTTTTGGAGAAAGAAAGGGCTTTTTTGCTTGTCATAGGTAGAGCTTGTATGCCATCTGCAGCACCCTTAGAGCTACTGTGTTAGTGTTTTCTGCTAATTTTAGTTTTTGGCTTCCCTGTAACCAAGGAGAACACCTATTGATTAACAGGTCTGCCGTGGGCTCTGTTTACTTGGGCTCAATTGCTTCCCCCAGTATGCCAGGGGATCTTTGGACATAGTGGGTGGGAGAGATCAGATCCCAGCCTGTATGTTAATATTCCCTCAGCCAATCCCTGATTAATATGGAGGTGACCAGCAGGGGACTGAGGGAGGGATAAATGGGTATGGACTTAGAGCAGGGGTCTCTTGATCCTGGGGGAGTAAAACCCAGCCTCATGGCTGTGTCATTCCTGGTAGTTACACCTTGCAATGAAACAGTTTTGTGGGGTCTCAGCTATAGCTTGGCTGGGGGACCTCTGCCCCATTCTTCCTGGAGTATTCTCTGAAAATCCTCTACAGATCCAGGATACAGGCTGCTGGAGTACTAATGTTTTCTGACCCTACACATGGCTGCCTGGAAATCAGAAACAGTGAGCACCAGTCTCTGTGATTTAGAGACTTTTGCAAACTGCTCTGGAAGAGCTTTGGTTACAACTTTCTGCATTCAAGACTGCATCTCCATTGGGATTCCTGTTTGCCTGCTGCTCAGTGTTACAATTTTCTTCATTCAGGACTGCATATCTATTGGGATTCCTGTTTGCCTGCTGCTTAGTGCTGCATGTATATAGGACTGCAACTCTATTGAGATTACTGTTTGCCTGTGATTCAGTGTTACAACTTAAAAGGGGGTGTCTTCACCCTGAAGTTTTGGTTTGGATTAGAATCCTCATTGTTTGTACTATAGTTTTTCTTGAGTATTTTATTTATTATTTATTTATTTCAGGTACTTATATAGCGCTGTCAATTTACGCAGCACTTTACATATATATTGTACATTCACATCAGTCCCTAACCCTCAAGGGGCGTACAATCTAAGGTCCCTAACTCACATTCATATACAATTTAGACAGGATCCAATTAACCTACCAGCATGTCTTTGGAGTGTAGGAGGAAACCGGAGTACCTAGAGGAAACCCACACAGGCACAGGGAGAACATGCAAACTCCAGGCAGGAGGTGTCATGGATGGGATTCGAACCAATGACCCTAGTACTGCCAGGCGGAAGTGCTAACCATTTAGCCACTGTGCTGCCCTGTTATACTCAGGTTCACCTCTACCCCAGCCAAGTTTTACCCCTAAAAAAAAAAAACAAAAAAGAGCTGCACAGCCTGTTGATTGTCTCAGAATGTGAAAATATTGTGTGCCTGACTGCTAAGTCCCGAACAGGGAATAGAATCTGGGACCAAACTTTCAGACCAATCCAGTCTGTGTGCTACACAGCTAAGCACAATGACAATGGTATCAATTTATTTCAACTGTAGGTAATAAATTGCATGAGATCTCTGGGTTTTATCACATGTGATACCACACATGTAGTCTACATGCTGCAATGTCCGTGTGGGTTACAGTATGTTGGCAAGACAAAACATCTCTTGAAAAAACGTATAGATGAACACATTTAGCATATTATTATTGGTTTCTGACACATAGTGCATCTTTACATTTCTGCCACGTACATGGGACGAACCCCTCTGGTTTACAGTTTTGAGGGATAGGTAGGTTTTTGCTCGCCTGGAGAGGTTTGAATAAGGTAAGGGACCTCTCTAGAAGGGGAACTAAGTGGATGTATCATTCAAAAGCCCTCAGCCCAAGTGGGATGAATGTGGATGTCAACCTAAATTGATTTAGAAGTGATTATTGATGATTAATTGCCAGTTTTTTAATTTGTTAAATATTTTTATTTCTAATTTATTATTTACTGATAGTAGTACCCTTAAGTGCTATGATTAATTATAGTATTCTAGTGCCTATATAAATATGGAATTTTATTAGGGTAAGAGAATTTTATATCATGGTTTTTAACAAATATTTGACTTGTGCAATTTATGAATTTTATATTGTATTTTTATTTATGTAATTGATTGTATTTGCAGATATGTATGGTGGCTCATCTTAAAGGGTTTGCTCTGTTGGCCTTTTGCATATTTGGAGATGAATTTTTAGTTTTTATTCACTGGAAAGAGCCACACCTGACCACTAGACTGGTGCATGTAGGTGGAGCGGTGTGGGTTAATTTTTCTAGGGGAGAGGGTATAAAAGGCGTTGCTGCTGTGCTGTGGGCCAACCCTTTCATGAAGTCGATAGATAAGGGCGGAATGAGCAGGAACCAGAAGTGATGTCACGGCCCTACGAGAAGTTACACAGCAGAAATTATGACATGGAGGCTGGGTGAGATGCCAATCGCTCAGCAGCAAACTAGAGGGTGGTAGATTGTCACATGGGCTAATATGATCTATAGATAATCTTGTTTTTTTATACACTTGTGAGTAGTTTTTTAACCAGCTGGAATAAACCTTAATAATTGTAACAGGATTGCACTATTTGGAGCACTTTTTCTTCCTTTGTATGGTTTATTTGGGACAACTACTGAGAGGGATGAAGAGGGAGAGATCTGCTGCTGGGAAACAGCACTAATGCCAATCATTGATTTGAGAGGCATATACATCCTGAGAGTGAGATGGAGTGCAGGGAAGTGGTGTGCACTATAAAATCAGTGCCACAGCTAAAATAACAGAGTTATTTGCAGCATATGGGAGCAAAACTATTGGGGACTATCACTTTTTATCACTGGTGTGGTGATTTTGGAGATAATACTCACTGATAATATACATGGACACTTGTATGAACTTTTTTTGATTTTATATTGATATACCAGTGTTGCCTCATGTTCAAATTTTAGTTGAACATTGTGGATGTGGATTTGTGTATATAATTTTATTTTTGTTTTTATCTTTTTCATGTATTGAATGTATTACTGTTTTCTTACATCTTTCCAGCTTGTTGCATCATTTACATCAAAGGAGTTATGTGCCTACGCCAAGGCCGGTGCGGTAGCAGAGGAGATTCTGACAACTATACGGACAGTAATTGCTTTTAATGGACAACAGAAAGCTATAGATAAGTATGTTTAATGTATTGTGGACTCATTCAACCGCTTTGACGTGTTGCTCTATATATATATATATATATATATATATATATAGTTTTATTGGAAGTTCAAAGACCAAGGTTACCCAAAACTAATACTTTTAACTTGGGTGGGAAGTGGTGACTCAAATCACATATGGTATTCACAGTGGCCTCTGCTCTTCAAGTTGAACTTCACTCTGTCAATTAACATTGACTATTTTTAATCTTTATGATGCTAGCATTAGTAGATAGATAGGAAAGTACACTCTATTGCCAAAAGTATTGGGACACCCCTCCAAATAATTGGATTCAGGTGTTCCAATCACCTCCATGACCACAGGTGTGTAAACTCAATCACATAGGAATGCAGACTGCTTCACCAAACATTTTTGAAAGAATGGGTCGCTCCCAGGAGCTCAGTGAATTCAAAACATGGTCAAATGATAGGCTGCCACCTCTGCATTAATTCCATTGTGAAGTTTCCTTGCTACTAAATATTTGACGGTCAACTGTTAATGGTATTATAACAAAGTGGAAGCAACTGGGAACATCGGGTTGCATATGTGCCTCCCACTTGTTAAGGGACCAAAAGTAATGGGACAGAATAATAATCATAAATCAAACTTTCACTTTTTAATACTTGGTTGCAAATCCTTTGCAGTCAATTACAGCCTGAAGTCTTGAGCGCATAGACATCACCAGACGCTGGGTTTCATCCCTGGTGATGCTCTGCCAGGCCTCTACTGCAACTGTCTTCAGTTCCTGCTTGTTTTCGGGGCATTTTCTCTTCAGTTTTGTCTTCAGCAAGTGAAATGCATGCTCAATCGGATTCAGGTCAGGTGACTGACTTGGCCATTGCATAACATTCTACTTCTTTTCCTTAAAAAACTCATTGGTTGCTTTTGCAGTATGCTTTGGGTCATTGTCCATCTGAACTGTGAAGCGGCGTCCAATGAGTTTTGAAGCATTTGGCTGAATATGAGCAGATAATATTGCCCGAAACACTTCAGAATTCATCCTGCTGCTTTTGTCAGCAGTCACATCATCAATAAATACAAGAGAACCAGTTCCATTGGCAGCCATACATGCCCACGCAATGACACTACCACCACCATGCTTCACTGATGAAGTGGTATGCTTAGGATCATGAGCAGTTCCTTTCCTTCTCCATACTCTTCTCTTCCCATCACTCTGGTACAAGTTGATCTTGGTCTCATCTGTCCATAGGATGTTGTTCCAGAACTGTGAAGGCTTTTTTAGATGTCGTTTGGCAAACTGTAATCTGGCCTTCCTGTTTTTGAGGCTCACCAATGGTTTACATCTTGTGGTGTGAACCCTCTGTATTCACGCTGGTGAAGTCTTCTCTTGATTGTTGACTTTGACACACATACACCTACCTCCTGGAGAGTGTTCTTGATCTGGCCAACTGTTTTCTTCACCAGGGAAAGAATTCTTCGGTCATCCACCACAGTTGTTTTCCGTGGTCTTCCGGGTCTTTTGGTGTTGCTGAGCTCACCGGTGCGTTCCTTCTTTTTAAGAATGTTCCAAACAGTTGTTTTGACCACGCCTAATGTTTTTGCTATCTCTCTGATGGGTTTGTTTTGTTTTTTCATCCTAATGATGGCTTGCTTCACTGATAGTGACAGCTCTTTGGATCTCATCTTGAGAGTTGACAGCAACAGATTCCAAATGCAAATAGCACACTTGAAATGAACTCTGGACCTTTTATCTGCTCATTGTAATTGGGATAATGAGGGAATAACACACACCTGGCCATGGAACAGCTGAGAAGCCAATTGCCCCATTACTTTTGGTCCCTTAACAAGTGGGAGGCACATATGCAAACTGTTTTAATTTCTACACCGTTCACCTGATTTGGATTTAAATACCCTCAAATTAAAGCTGACAGTCTGCAGTTAAAGCACATCTTGTTTGTTTCATTTCAAATCCATTGTGGTGGTGTACAGAGCCAAAAATGTTAGAATTGTGTAGAATTGTGTTGATGTCCCCAGTATTTATGGACCTGACTGTAGACAAGTGTTATATGGTGCATGTGTATCATAGAGCAGTATGACCTTTGTAAGGAGTAAGCATAGCAGAAACTGTTTACTTTTAGATCTTTTCTCTGTGATTGATTCTCTACTCTATATGGTCTCTTCTGAACAGAGCAGGTAGGAAGGTATAGGTAGGGGGTAGATGGGTCACTTCTTTGGATTTGTGTATCTAACTCTGAGTTTAAGAGATTGAGCTTTGTAAACAATAAGCTTTTTTTCAGCAGAGCAGCAGTTAAGATTTGCTATACGTGGTAAATATTCATAAGGAATATTTCATATTTACATGGCTAAAAAGTATATATTTAGCATATGAAGCAACTCAACAAAGAAAGTTATAGACTGTTAAAAACATCCAAACAATACTTGCAGCATGTAGGTTCATGAGGTAAATCAAGGGTCTGCAAACTTTCCAAATGTAGGGCCAGTTTAATGTCCTTCAGGCTTTAGGAGGGGTGGACTGTGGACAGTGGGATCAGAAAATATCCCAGTGTCAGTGATGTGAAACAATGCCCCATCATTGGTTTTAGTGGCAGGAATAGTGCCCCTTTGTTGGTGTCAGTGGGGGGGGGGATAGTGCCCCATTGTTGGTGTCAGTAGGAGAAATGGTGCCTTATCATCTGTGTTAGTGGAAGGAATAGTGGCCCAAGGGCCAGATAAAGACAGGCAAAGAGCCACATCCAACTCCCAGGCTGCAATTTGGAGACCATTGAATTAAATGAAGAGGTGTGCACTGGAACTAATGTCACTAACGAGTTTTCCACTACAATGCTTTCATGGAAATGCTTGCTAAAGTGCATCCAAACCTAGGAACAAACATTTAAAAAATTGCAAAATGTGGTGGCTGTATTAGTTTTCTTTTTTTCAGGCTTGTTTTCCTTAATTTTCTTATGGTAATCTTGCCAGTAATAAACTTCATGTTCCAGGTGACAAAGCTAATACATAAGTGTAGAACATGCTGGGAACACAGGAAATTATTAACTGACAAGATTCATTAAAGGACCATCTGTTATTTTTTTTAGCTCTTATCAACAGATATAACAAAACACGGTAAATGATATATTTCACAGACTAAAAAGGACCAGACAAGAGAAGATCATTGTTAAAGTTTACATGCACATACCACGACAAATCTGCCACACTCATATCACAATCACCAGTCTGTATGCAGTTTTATAATTACAATTCAATTTTAGGTATGATGCCAACCTGGTTGATGCAAGGAATGTTGGAGTGAAAAAGTCTGTAACCTTAAATGTATCAATGGGACTGTCACAATTTCTCATATTTGGTGCGTATGCCTTGGCATTTTGGTATGGAACAAGATTGACAGTGGAGGAACCTGAAAATTACAGCATTGGCAAAGTATTAATTGTAAGTATCAGTATATGATCTGCAATGTCACTGTTTGGCTTACAGAAGGCGGCACGTTAAGATCTTGATTTACTAATTAAATACAGAACTTTCACTTTGTAAAGTTAGTTTTCACTATAACATGAAACTGCTCGTGTCCATCATCCTGTCATGTGCAGTCAAAACCACATTGTTTTAAATATTTCCCTTGCACATGATTGGGTATTCAAAGTAAAATGTTGTGTCCCTTTAGTAAATAAGGCCCCACATTTTAGCTAAGGCGATCTATAGATACATCACATACAAGACAAATGCATGGGAATTGTGAGTTAAAAGGGATTTAGCTAAAAACAGGCCTGGATAGGGTAGCTTAAAATAAATGGATGACCACTCCACTAAATCACAAATACAAAAATAACATACACAAAAGAACATATAGTAAATGAAACACACTATCAAGGCTTAGGTCATATAAATATCATCACTGGGAATCATCCATGGCACATTTCCAAATGCAATAAATATTATTATTCCTACATGAATAGTAGTAAATAAATCCATTATTTATTATTCAAGCACGATTTATATTTGATAAAAAAAATCAAATAGTTCATAACTTGGTTCATTTATGAGAAGCCCAGCTAAGCATTATTTGGTTCAAAAATAACCAAAACATGACAATTTTAGGAAACAACAGTCTTTTCTGTGATTGAATGATTGCAATGTTTGTATGTGCTCATAAATTTGAAAGTTATTTCCTTGTTGTCGCTCATCTTCTTGAGCATATATTAAATGTAATAAAAAAAAAAAAGTTATAATGAAAGAGTGTGAACCTTACCTGCTCTGAATCTGTGTGACATGCTTTTAAACAGAATGAATCTCTTATTAGAGAAGGATGGGACATAAGAACACCCAGAGAAAATATTGGCACTAACCTTGAACTTGGTGTATATGAATGGGTGAGGAACACAATCTTTCACCAAGGACATATACAGTCAGGTCCATAAATATTGGGACATTGACACAATTCTAACATTTTTGGCTCTATACACCACCACAATGGATTTGAAATGAAATGAACAAGATGTGCTGTAATTGCAGACTGTCAGCTTTAATTTTAGGGTATTTGCATCCAAATCAGGTGAACGGTGTAGGAATTATAACAGTTTGCATATGTGCCTCCCACTTGTTAAGGGGCCAAAAGTAATGGGACAGAATAATAATCATAAATCAAACTTTCACTTTTTAATACTTGGTTGCAAATCCTTTGCAGTCAATTACAGCCTGAAGTGTGGAACGCATAGACATCACCAGACACTGGGTTTCATCCCTGGTGATGCTCTGCCAGGCCTCTACTGCAACTGTCTTCAGTTCCTGCTTGTTCTTGGGGCATTTTCCCTTCAGTTTTGTCTTCAGCAAGTGAAATGCATTCTCAGTCGGATTCAGGTCAGGTGACTGACTTGGCCATTGCATAACATTCCACTTCTTTCCCTTAAAAAACTCTTCGGTTGCTTTTGCAGTATGCTTTGGGTCATTGTCCATCTGCTCTGTGAAGCGGCGTCCAATGAGTTCTGAAGCATTTGGCTGAATATGAGCAGATAATATTGCCCGAAACACTTCAGAATTCATCCTGCTGCTTTTGTCAGCAGTCACATCATCAATAAATACAAGAGAACCAGTTCCATTGGCAGCCATACATGCCCCCACGCCATGACACTACCACCACCATGCTTCACTGATGAGGTGGTATGCTTAGGATCATGAACAGTTCCTTTCCTTCTCCATAATCTTCTCTTCCCATCACTCTGGTACAAGTTGATCTTGGTCTCATCTGTCCATAGGATGTTGTTCCAGAACTGTGAAGGATTTTTTAGATGTCGTTTGGCAAACTCTAATCTGGCCTTCCTGTTTTTGAGGCTCACCAATGGTTTACATCTTGTGGTGAACCCTCTGTATTCACTCTGGTGAAGTCTTCTCTTGATTGTTGACTTTGACACACATACACCTACCTCCTGGAGAGTGTTCTTGATCTGGCTAACTGTTGTGAAGGGTGTTTTCTTCACCAGGGAAAGAATTCTTCGGTCATCCACCACAGTTGTTTTCCGTGGTCTTCCGGGTCTTTTGGTGTTGCTGAGCTCACCAGTGCGTTACTTCTTTTTAAGAATGTTCCAAACAGTTGTTTTGGCCACACCTAATGTTTTTGCTATCTCTCTGATGGGTTTGTTTTGTTTTTTTCAGCCTAATGATGGCTTGCTTCACTGATAGTGACAGCTCTTTGGATCTCATCTTGAGAGTTGACAGCAACAGATTCCAAATGCAAATAGCACACTTGAAATGAACTCTGGACCTTTTATCTGCTCATTGTAATTGGGATAATGAGGGAATAACACACACCTGGCCATGGAACAGCTGAGAAGCCAACTGTCCCATTACTTTTGGTTCCTTAACAAGTGGGAGGCACATATGCAAACTGTTGTAATTCCTACACCATTCACCTGATTTGGATGTAAATACCCTCAAATTAAAGCTGACAGTCTGCAGTTAAAGCACATCTTGTTCTTTTCATTTCAAATCCATTGTGGTGGTGTATAGAGCCACAAATGTTAGAATTGTGTCGATGTCCCAATATTTATGGACCTGACTGTACATTTATCTTACATTGGCCATGAGAAATTCACAATTTTCGGAACATATAAATATAAAGCATGGACACGTATATATCTTTCTTCATGCTAAGAAAAGAGTGTCTCCAGTATGATATATTATAACAAAAACATGTGACCCCTGAGCAGGTAAGTTAGTATAGTCCACCCTACAGACCACACACTACCAACTGTGAATCCTGTTGTTATTAATCCCCAATTATGAATCATGTTGTTGTTATTAACTTTGTTTGGAGAAATACAGTATGTTCCAATGTGTTATAATGGGGATTATTTACTGAACCTGGAGAGTGCAAAATATAGGGCAGCTCTGCATAGAAACCAATCAGCTTCCAGGTTTTATTGTCAAAGCTACCATTCATCGCTGCACCAGATTCTGGGTGAACCAATTTTAGTAAATCTCCCCCAATATATTCATAAAATGAATGCAGATGAAGATCCCTACTATGATTAGTAATAGTGAGATTTTGTTGAGGTGACAGAGATTACCAAAGCAAAACTTTTTAGTAAGAACGTCTTGTAATGACCAAGAGATTCCAAGAGAGAATGGTGATTATACTTACAGCCTGATCCAGGACAATATTATGCCTATAAAGCAGCTTTATACAGTCCTGTCCAACAGATTTTGAAGAAGAATGTGATTGGATAGGTCAGAAAAACGTATCTGATTGCTATTGGCTTGTTGAGATAGTCCAGTGCTGGGACTCATTGTAGAACAAGAGATATGTCTCCCTCCTTCATAGCATTATCAGGATTGTTGATGTGACCTGAGCATTGATCTTTACGGCTGAAGCTATGCCAGAAAACATTGGCTTCCCTGCTATGGCCAACATAAGAATTAAACCTATAAACCAATAACCTGTATATAGGTGTGTTATGATACATTTTCTGTACATTTTATGCCATCTGATGTGACATATGTGTTACATAAGACTATTCTTTTCCCAAAAGGTATTTTTCTCAGTGTTGATCGGTACATTCACACTTGGACAAGTTTCACCAAATTTAGAAAGTATTAGTAGTGCACGAGGAGCAGCTTTTGAGATATACAAGATTATAAACAAGGTAACAGCAAGTAAAAAAAAAAAAACAGAATTGTGATATGCATATTATTTACTTTAACATTTTTTCATGACATTGAAGGAAAAAAAAAAACATTATTCATAAATTGTCAATGCAATCAGTAGTCCTATACCATCTAGGGAAATTACAAAATATAAAAGAAAAACTTAGAGTAATAAACCAACAAATGATGAAAAGATATTGCTGTAAAAATGTCCAAATGTATAAGCTATTTGGCTGGACTGCTATATGTGACAGATCCAGCCATGGCAGCACTAGAGTTGTCGGTTCCAAACCCAACCACGACACTACCTACACAAAGTTTGCATGTTCTCCCTGTGCCTACGTGGATTTCCTCTGGGTACTCCGGTTTCATCCTACATTCCAAAGACATGCTGGTAAGATAATTGGCTCCTGTCTAAATTGGCCCTAGTATGTGTATGTATGAATGTGAGTTAGGGACCTTAGATTGTGTGCTCCTTGAGGGTTAGAGACTGATGTGAATGTACTATATATATACACAGTATATATATATATATTTATATATGTAAAGCACTGTATTAATTGATGGCGCTATATGAGTACTTGTAATAAATAAATAATTCATGGTCCCACACCCCCCAGCCCTCCCCCCACCGAGTGTGACAACAAACTGCCCTTCTTGCTGATTTTTGTTGTTATAGGGAACCCTCTAGCCAAGTCATTATGTGCAATGCAGGAATACCTGCTATCACTGCCACACAAAGCACTAGCTGTTGTGTGCAGTAAGGTATTCCATTGTCTTTTTGATCACTCCCTAACAAAACAAGTATAATATTATTTTTTTTATTTATGCTCAAAGTTCTACTTGAAGGTGTTTTTCATTTGTTTTTAAGGGGATGATGATCCTGAAATGGCCCTCTAAAAGGTTTTTTTCCAACTATCGTGGACCTGTTTTTGTCCAAAACAAGAACCCTCGGTTGCCTCATTTTTTTACTTTGTTATTTGACAGAAGAAAACACAAAAAAAGGGGGAGAAAATCAAGAGACAGTTAAAAAATGCACAAAGAAAAACACACAAAAAGATTGAATATGTAATTGAAATAATGTAATTGAAATAACACTCTCCAAAAAAAAAAACACTCCCTCTAGCAAAATTGAGAGTTGTTTTCAATTTTTTCAAAATCACTCCATCATTCCCAGTCAGCAATGGTTGCCTTCTTTTTTCTCTCAAGACAGGCATATTTTAAATCTGATAGGTTACTGTTATTTTTTGCCAGTGCAGTTAATTGTTAGAATTGATACCATGAAATTCAGATATACGAAATAAATAATTTAGTTACATTAGAACATATAATCAGTAAAGACTAGCAATGTAAAAGCATTTTTTTGTTGTGTTGTTTTTTTTGTTTTGTTTGTTTTTTTCAGCCTCGCCACATTGATAGTGACTCCCCTGAGGGCCACAAGCCAGACAAATTAACTGGACATATTGACTTTAAAAATATTCACTTTGCTTACCCTAGTCGCCCAGATGTGCAGGTATTACTCAACGTATATTCACATTGTTTACCATATAAAAAGCTACAATATTATATTTCCAATCACTGCCTATATGACTTATTCTTATAGATCCTTACTGGTCTGAACCTTAAGATACCAGCTGGAAAGACCATGGCTCTAGTTGGCATGAGTGGCTGTGGGAAAAGCACAACTATTCAGTTATTACAGAGATTCTATGATCCACTAGAGGGGGAGGTATGATGACATGTCTTATTATGGAATTTCACTCTTTCATTTATGTATTTTAGAGCATATAAAATAAAAATAGATGGGATGGCCTTTAATACTCTTGGGATCACAGTTGCAAAGAACTATACTTTGCTAAATTAAGCTAAATTAAGCAGTGTCTATACTGGAGTAAATGATTTATGAAAATACTGAATTTAATAACAAAATCATTTAAATGGATAACTGTACTTTATAATGCAATTACATACATATATATGAACCCACCACAACCCCAACCCCTAGTCTTCTACTTACTGTACCTGACTGTATATTGGGAGCCACACAGACTTTAACACCAAAAGTCCCTAGTCAGGGTCTGCATAGGTGCATATAATCTCCATTCATGGGAAGGAACTTGAAAAGAGCTGCAATCTATTAAATGTTGCATATAGAGACTGTAAAATATCTAAGTACAAGAAGAGATGAGTGGGTTAATCATAACTTGGAGACAAGTATCGACTTAGTGTACAGCTTGGGCTTCAATTCCAAGGGGCTCCATAGGGACAGAGGGGTAATTTTCAAAACCATTGCAGGTACTTGCAGGCATCAAACGCTTATCTTTGACACCTTATAGGTCAGGCCAGATACAATTTAGACTTGTACATATTGATTTTAAGTTTTATAAAATTCTCCTTATTCAGGTCATGGTGGATGAACAAGATATTCGTTCACTTAATGTTAAGTGGCTGAGAAACAACATTGGGGTGGTCAGTCAAGAACCAGTCTTGTTTGGAACAACCATTGGTGAAAATATTCGGTTTGGCAGAGATGGAGTAACTGAGCAAGAAATCGAACAAGCTGCCAGAGAAGCCAATGCTTATGACTTTTATTTCCAAATTGCCTGATGTAAGTGTTCTATTCATTCTCCAGTGCAAAAAAGGAGTTTTGATGTTCAAGCTGAAGCTGGCCTAAAGAGTTATTTGTACAACTATATGCTGCCTTACCCTCAGTTTCTCCAGTTCTGTAGAGAAAATATAATATAATATATATATAAAGAGAATATATACAGGTCAGTTCAATTTGGAAAACCCTTCAGCCAGCAAAGTCAATAAGTCAAAGCAAGCACTTCAAAAGTGAGGAGCCAAATGTGCTTGAGTTCAGTTTGAGGGACGTTCATTGAACAGTTATAAAAAAAAAGTGGGATAATGCGAACACTTTCCAGATCCCATTGAAGTCTATTCTGGACGAATCCTGCAAATCAATTTTGCCCATTTTTAGGGCCAACAGTAAAAGGATTGTCCCCCTGGGCACTGCCAGGGGGAATGTGAACCAATACAAAAACGTTTTAGAAATTATGGTTTGATGGGGAGAAGCACTGTTAAAAAGGCTTAAAGAGCAACATTAACAATGCACAATTCTTTCAAATACCATGCTTCGGGGTTGTATTAAGCCACCCTGTGAAGTGGTACACATCTACAAAGTACTAAAGCAAAAGTAACATTTACATTAAAAAAAAAAAGCATGTAATGTTGCTAGTAAATGACAGTTCCCGGTCACTTTTATCTAATTGTAAACAAGTGGCTTGGGATTCCCTTCCAGGAAGGGGATCCAGGATAAGGGATTGTAGGGTGGGACCCCATGCAAAAAAAGGTAAGGTGTATATAGCACCCCTGTTTACTCCTGTATGAAGGAGTTTTGGTGCACTTTCAGATAGCACACCAAAAGTGTGGAACATAATAGAACTCCATGGGAAAGCACAGCTAACCTGCTCCAAACCCACAGGTACACTGAACTACGCATAAGGTATGGGAAACCTGTATCAGTGTGAAAGGGCTTTAATGTTTAAACTTTTCTTATTCTGCTCCTTTTCAATCTTGAGAGTGTTTTGTTATACAATATGTTCAAAAATACATATTGATCCTAACAGGAGTAAATTCCTGGGCTATTTGCTTGTCCTGACTCAATAAGTTATATAGTTCTCAGTTATTTCTGAAAATTACTAAACCCCTCCCATCTATATTATGGAGAAAATAAGAGGGGAAGGTTTCTATAGTTTGCTCATAGGGTGACAGCATTGCTTCTCCATAAATAAATGGGCACTGGCACCCTAAAACAGGAAGTGTGTTACTGGCAGGATCACCAGCTAAGGAAAACAAATCCTAAATGCAAATGAATGCTGTCACCACATATAAGGACTGATAAACTGCAGTATATATTCAATTTTTATTTTGGGGACTTTAAATTAACTTTAAAGCAAATGACAGTGCCACATACCTCTATGCTATATGAATGTTATCACAGCAGCCCTAGCACATTTGCCTGTAGATGAGTTAGATGGGACTGGTTCAATTTTAGCTTCTTCAAACTTCACTGTAAATGACATGAAACCTGCCCACCTAATCTGCCTGTTTATACCCCTTTCTGAGATAAGTGGGGAGCAGGAATTCCAGAGAAAAATCTAAGTTTATCCATGTTCTTTCTGCAGCAATTTAATACACTGGTGGGGGAGAGAGGAGCCCAGCTGAGCGGAGGACAGAAGCAGAGAATTGCCATAGCACGTGCCCTAGTACGAAATCCAAAAATTCTGCTACTTGATGAAGCAACATCAGCTCTGGACACACAGAGTGAGGCTGTTGTACAAGCTGCATTAGATAAGGTGACTTGATTGACACATGGGGGCTAATTTACTAAAGCTGGAGAGAGCGCAAATCAGGTGCACCTCTGCATAGAAACCAATCAGCTTCCAGGTTTTATAGTCAAAGCTTAGTTGAACAAGCTGAGGTTAGAAGCTGATTGGCTGCCATGCACAGGTGCTCCAGATTCTGAGTTAACCAGCTTTAGTAAATCTCTCCCATTGTGTAAAAAAAAACCACTAAACCTATACACACCAAACTGTAAAATATATGTTGTTTGACTGAGTGTTCTTTATTGTTCAGCAGAAAAGTCAAAACCAGGGGGGGACTGACAACTCATAGGGCCCCCGGGCAATAGGGGATCATGGGGCCCCTGTGTCCTCGCCCACACTCAAACCACACCCAAAAAAGCCTATGAAAGGTACCAGGGGCATCTCATGGGGCCCCCTGCTGACCCTGGGCCCCGACCAGGGGTGGACTGACAACTCAAAGGGCCCCTTGGGCAATAGGGGATCATGGGCCCCCAGGCAATAGGGGATCATGGGTCCCCCAGGAAATAGGGATCATGGGGCCCCTGTGTCCTTGCTCACATGCAAACCACACCCAAAAAAGCCTATGAAAGGTACCAGGGGCATCTCATGGGGCTCCCTGCTGACCCTGGGCCCTCGGGCAGTGCCCCTGGTCAAAACTATTGTTAAAGTGATACTTTTTTGTGCCTGACTACAAATATGCAAAATATGAGCTTTCCTAACACCAGGTTCCTTCTCTGGGTGTATTGAGATAAAAGTTGTGGCAAAGTGGCAGAGCACTAAATATTTTGATTTTCAGAGAGAAGGCACGGTGTACAGATAAAATATAAACCATTAGTATTGCATTGTGAGAATATAAAAGGCTGGCTTTAGTGAAGCACTGCAAAACAGTATACTACATAAGAGATAATAACCAGAAATATGGTCCTTTTATTAAAACATGTTCTGTAGCACTTAATTATAAATCCATCTGCACTTACAGTTTTCCCTTTTTTTTTCACAGATATTTTTTATTTTGCATAAAAGTAGAAAACAATACAAAACCCAAATAGGTCTGGTTGGTACATAGTGCAAAAAGATACATAAACGTGATACAGTACATTAACAGCAGCATATACAATTGAGGACATAGAAATTTCTCTGATACAACAATTTTTTAACCAGCAGAGTAATCCAGGACAAGGAGCAGTATAAATCAGTTTGTACAGAGGGAGTACCTGATTCACCGTAGTTCTCCACTGCTGAATTATGGGTGGCTCAGAGGACTTTCCACTTGGTCAATATAAGCTTTTGCACATAGAACACTGCATAAAAAGGTAGTACCTTTGGTGGAAAGAAATATCCAACTGGACTTCCATACCCAACAGGAAAAGGACCAGATCTAAGGGTAGTCAAAGATCTAGAATAGGATTAAGATCCACCAGCACTCCTTGCCAGTAGGATTGTAGACTAGAGTAGGTCCAAATCATGTGTACGAAAGTGCCCACCTCTGACATGCACTGAGGACAATATTTGTTAACTGTAGGGTAAATGAGAGATAGCCTCTGCGGGGTGTATTATGCACGGTGTAAGAATTTAAGTTGGATAAATCTTTCTTTGGCCGATATCATCAGTGGTATAAATTGTTGTAAATCTTCCCCCCAATCATCTGCAGTAAGGCCAGGGAGATCATTTTGCCAGGTGCGACACAGTTGGGTGACTTTAGTTGTCTCCTTCCCAGAAATCCTTAGGTAAAGAGAGGAGAGTATTCGGTCCATATTTTTGCAAATCAAGAAGCACTCTACTGAATGAGATGCCAAAGTAACCATGGTGGGAAATTTTGCTCTAATCTCATGGCGCAATTGAATGTACCTGAAAAATGTATGGTTAGTAAGTTGGAATTCTGATTTTATGGTATTAAATGGTAGGAGGGATCTATTGGGGATAATATGTTTAAGAGCCTTGATACCACATCTCTTCCACACAATTGGATCTGGAATCAATCGGAGATGCGGGAGAGTAGGGTTACCCATACCAGTGTATGAGAGGAAAACTGTATCAAGTTCCCTGGTCACCTGCTGCCAGAAAGAAATTGTAGTGTGCATTGGAGTGGCTATGCCTGGATTAGATCTGGGCCCTCGAAAAACCACACTGCTCAGCTCTGCATAGGAGGCTAAAAGAGTTGCCTCTGAGTTCACCACAGGGACCCCCCCAAAGTTGGGCGAACCACGAACAAATAGCCACCAAGAAAGCGGTGTTGCGGAACACATATAGAAATTTAGGTAAGAAGCTTATCTTTATTAGATTGACTGTACCCACAGGAGTTAAGGGCAGGGATTTCCATACCCCACATTTATGGGTAAGCTGAGTCATGATCGGGTGAAGATGATTAGGCAATAATTGTGCAAAGTCCGTCATTACTTGAATTTGCGAGGCAGCTGATAGTGGTACATTGGACAATTGGGAAGATGCTCCTAGGGTCAACGGGAACAAAACTAACTGGCCCCAATTTACCCATATGCCTGAAAATTCCCCAAATCGGTCAATAAGAGAGATAAGGCTGCTTCTAAGGAAGGGCCCGCATCTTTTACAAACAGTAGGGTGTTGTCTGCATATAAAGACACTTTTTCAGAACAGGGCCTACTATGCCCGGTACAGACTCAGATCTCAGCAAAAGGATTGCCATGGGCTAAATAGCTAACACAAACAAACTCGGGGACAGGGGGCAGCCTTGCCCTTTACCCCTAAACAGGGGGAAAAAAAGGCAAGAGCAGTCCATTTTTTATATTTTATACGGCCCTAATCCAAATCTCTGCAGAACCAGCCATAGGTACTCCCATTCTACAGATTTGAAGGTCTTCTGCGTATCGAGGGAGGCCATTACCCCAAGGTGAGCGTCAGAGCCGGCCTGTGCTATAACCGTATGCAGATGACAGAGAATAATATCTGTCCCTTCACCTGGCATAAACCCAGATTGGTCCCCATGAATCAGTATGGGAATTACTGCATTTAGGTGATTTAGCCAAAATCATAGTCAGTACTTTAGCATCAACATTAGTGAAACTGGGTGATAACAGGAGCAAAGGGACAGGTCCTTACTCAGCTTAGAACCTCCACTATTACTGCTTCCGATATAGAAGATGGAAGAGACTTTTCAGTAAGCGCATATTTAAGCATTTCGTAAAAATGCGGAAAGAGTACATCTACATAGGTTTTATAGAATTCTGCAGGTAATCCATCTGTCCCAGGAGTTTTTCCCATATGGAGGGAGAGCAAGGCTTTCCTAACTTTATCCAACATTATGGGGACATCTAGTTTGGTTCTATCACTTGCACTAAGAACTGGGAAGTCAATTTCCTGCAGATACTGGCGTAATTATTCAGGAGAGTAATGCACTCGAGAAGTGTACAATTGACTATATTAGGAGTAATAAGCGAGTAATAATTAAACCTGGATCTGTCAGCAACCTACCATCCTCAGCCTGAACAGTCGTTATGAGTCACAGGGGTATGATCCTTGGAAAGCTATGCTAACAGCCTACTGGTTTTATTCCCCTGATCAAACACCTGCTGGGAATAATGTAGAAGAATCTTACAGGAGACTTCCACCCAAAGAGGGGATACTTCTCTATAGGCAACCACCATATCCTAATGCATAATCTTGTCTTGGGAGGATGCATATTGGGCCTCAAGTTCCTGAGCACGGGACTCCACCGTAAAGCAGACTGGGAGTCACAACGGGCTGCAGCAATATGAAACTGGTACTTTCCTCTAGTGAAGGCCTTGAGAGCATCCCACTCTATTTCAGGGGAGGCTGTCCCAAGATTGCGATTCCAGTAGTCAGAGATCTCACCAAGGATCTGGGGTTCAACCTTCTCATCATTAATCCAGTACCTGGACAACCTCCATAATTTCAGCCCCTGTGGGGGCGTCTCTACCTACCGAAAAGCGCAAGAGCAGTGGAGCATGATCAGAGATTCCCTGTGGAAGGATAGAAATCTCTTGGATTGTAGGTAGCATAGCAGTATTATCATAAATTACTGTAAATCTATACGAGAAAGTGTGGCATATGCAATGGAGTGACATGTGTATCCCCTACTAGCTGGATGTTTCCAATGCCAGAGATCACATAAATCAAAGGATTCCACCCATCTGGATAAAGTAGATTCATTGGCCGCATCTGGCTTGAGTTTATCCAGCATCGGGCTAGGGGGCATGTTAAAGTCACCAGCAAGGAGAATATGGTCCTTGGGGTACAAAGCTAGAATTTGGATTATTTTAGCAAGCATGGAAACACTGGCCGGGGAGGCAGATATAGTCCATCTACAATCATGGAAACACTAACAATCACAGCATGTATAATCACATATTTGCCCTTCGGATCCAAATGAAGGTCCAGCAGCATGAAGGCCATAGTTTTATGAAGCAATATACTAACACCTCTAGCTTAGGAGGAATAGGTAGCATGGTAGTAATGCCCTACCCAGGGTTTCTTAAAACTTAGGATTCTACTCTATGTCAAGTGAGTCTCCTGTAAAATACAGTACAGATATGGGATTTATAGGTTTTAAGGTAGTTGAATAAAAATGAGCGTTTGATCTTTATGTTTATACCCCGGACATTCCAGGAAATTACCGCCACTGGCAACATGAGGAACCACGTATATAAATAATGTGGTTACTCCATCTGCTGGACCTCATAAGGAATGAAAAACATCCGGCCCAGAAATCAAATTATTTACTCAAAAGGTGCTGTAGAACATCAGAACCAGACAATTGCCCATCATCGAGCGACACACACCAGACCAAAAACAGTAAACTAAAACAAAAACCAACTGTACATAATACCCCTCCCACACCCACCTCACATCACCACCCCAAACGTGGTGTGCCTTATCGCTGAACAGTAACATGGTACAACAATAAAGGGGGGTATGAGCCAGAAGGGAGCGCAGTGAGGAAAGTTGTTCAAGATGTAGGTAGAGTAGGAGATGCCATTTGTAGTACAAAATGAGCAATTGTAAAGTCTCTTGAGGTAATAAATGAGTTCAAGGGCAGAGTTCTTAGTTACAAACAAGAAGAAAAATGAAGACACTAAGGCCAATCTCCAAGCATATTGGCACAGCTAAAGAAATCGGCAAGTCTCTTGTGAAAATTGAGGGCACCATACTTAGTTGCAAACAAATACAATTGGTGGGTAACAATGCAAAAAACATCAAGTCAAATATGCCGCCGTCTAAATGCAGCATAATATCATAGGCAGCAGCTACCAGGATATAAGAGAACAGAATATGCATTTCCAGCTGAGGGCAGGATCTATGAGGCTAAGACAGCACCTGAAGATAGACTGCAACCAGGGAGGGCCGTCAGAGATCCACCGCCATGGTATGGTAAGCTGCCAACTGGTAACATAGAGCAAAGAGGGCTCACAGCAGCAAAGGGGATATGGAGGCCGTAAACCCAGTAGATATCTGAGCAGTGGCCGTGCAAGGTGAGGCCAGGAGCCTAGGTGGGTAGTACACACCTCCCAGGCCCCCATATTGTAAAGTTTATGGTCTGGGTAACATCTCAAGCCACTGGGCTGCCTCCTTGGGGGAAGTAAAGAACTGGACAGAGTTACCTTCTCTCCGGGAAGTGCATACTATATTTGAACCCCTTCTGACAGAGAACCAGCTTCACCTGGTCAAAAGAGCTCCACAGCCTCTGAGTCTCCACTTAATAGTCCGGGAAGATCATCAAATTGGCAGCTTCATGGCAGAGTGTTTCTTGTTTCCTGGCTTCCCGGAGAACCACATCATGGTCATGGAAATGAAGGAGATGTAGGATGAAAGTGCAAGGAGGTGCACCAGGGGGGCCCCGATTCGATGGCATTTTTTGGGTGCTCTCCACTGAGAAGTATGGAGAAAATGTTGCTTGAGGTAGCAGAGCATGCAGTAGCCGTTCTGAAAAAGCTGCCGGGTCTTGGCCTTCAGCCACCTTTGGTAGGCCAATGATGCGGAGATTATTCCTCCAGTTCTGGTTTTCTGCATCCTCAGTTCTAGACTCTAGGTATTTCACCTTAGTGCGAAGGGTGTGAAGTTGGGCAGAGTGCTCCCAGGCCATGTCTTCAGAAACCCAGAGGCAACTCTCAGCTTCTGACTGGTTATGAAACTTCTCCATGTCCCACCTAAAAAGGCCATTATCAATCTGGAGGGAGTCTATTTTAGTAGTTAAGGTAGATTGGCAGCCTGTAATCACTTGCAATAGAGCCTGAAACTGATTGTGTTCTGCCTCTGCCTTCATCGGTAGCCTCAGTTTGAGTCGGCATTTTGACCACGTGGCCCAGTTGATAAACTGCCTCGGGAGACTCAGTCACTGTATCCGTCATGTGTTGGGTCTCCATCTGCTGTCGACCTCTCGTCATCATCTGAAGGGGTTCCTAGGGTAGCAAAAGTGATGGCATCTAGCAGTGCTCCAAAATCATGGGAGAGAAGAACCATAAACCGGTGGAGCTCCTTTCTCATGCGTCTGCTCCCATCGCCATCTTGGACATGCCCCCCACAGTTTTCTCTTAGTCTACCTTCATAGTGTCAGAAATACTTTACTCATTGTGATAGGGTGACAACAATGCTGCACTGATCCTGAATTCAGAGCACCCTCAAGTAGGCAGTGTTTACTTGCATTACAGTGAGTTTGATATTTGGTCCATAAATAAGACAAGTGGGTCCATTTTGCATCTGGATATGTGGATATACATCTATAATCTTTCATAAAATGGAAGGTTATAAAACAGCACAAGAAAATCTGTGAATATTTGCAGAGGTCTAGAAAGAGCTAGAGTTTTTCATTCAGCAGGGACATGTTGGACCTCTGCAGAGAAATCGCTTCTTTCATACAGAGTGCAAGGGTTCATATCCACAGCATGCTGTAAGCTACTTTTTTTCCCCTGTTTTGACTTGAAAGTTAATTTGAGATTTAAGATATTCGTTGGTGTTCATTTGTGTCCTCTGAGATATAACACATATAGATGTATATGGCTGCAATACCTTTTTTAAGTGTGTTTCAGATAAACGTTGCTCCATGTAGCCAGGTGGGCTGTTGGTTTGTGGTACAGAGGTGTCTCTATTGTCCTGTTTACTGTTTTGTATCCAAATCGTTCATGGTATCCTGGAAATACTTGAACCTAAAAAGTTCAGAATATATATTACAGTATATGATATTATATTATATATAGTGTACTAATGAAGAAGGATCCTAGCAAAGAGTGTATTTTCAATAATTGTCACTAAAAGGAACCACCTTGACAATATTTTTTGCCTTCTTTACTTTTGTTTTATTCCTGGCAATACTTTTTTTTGCTTTTGATCCTCATTTTTCTGTATCTTTTAGGCTAGAGCAGGTCGCACAACAATAGTCATAGCTCATCGACTATCTACTGTTCGAACTGCCGACATCATTGCCGGATTCCATGGTGGCCTTGTGGTGGAGCAGGGGTCACATGATGACCTAATGTGTAAAAAGGGAGTCTATTATTCACTTGTGATGCTTCAGGTAAATTATATCCTAAACACTATGTCAGAATATAATACAGAATGATATCTCAAAAGAGCAATGACCAATAACATATGTTGAAAATATTATATTAATTCAAATAATCTCTATGAATATAAACAATATTTAAAGAGTTTTGAATGGTACAGTTTTGTAAGCTGATTTAAATCTATTGCGATAGGGCAACCTATGTGTTATAACTTGTTTTACAAGGCAGTAAGTAGACGTTCATTTGTGAATTAGAAGCAAACTGCTTTGTAATGTCTCCAGCACTTAAAAGCCTAGAAGTCAACGCAGAAAAAGCCTTTGACAGGTTTCAATAGATATTCTGTTAATCTGGAGATAGAACAATTAGTTTACCCACGGTCATTAAGTGGCCGTCTTCAATCTCCATTTCACCATCTACTTACTAGGTTTAAATTGAATGTATTACTAAGGGATACTCTAATAACATGGAAGGAAGGAAGTCTGGCTGGTTTTATTTCTCCATATCTACCTATTCATACTACCTCTGCATTTCCACCAGGTAATTCAGATAAACCATTTATTTTTATAGACAGGTAGAGGATTTGGAACTCTTGAAGGCCTGTTTGATTTTGAAGATATTTGACCCCTTTACAAATGTCCAGTCTAAACAGGCTCTTCAATCTAGTCATTTTTATCTTCTATGCAAGTGAGTGTCTTCCTTCAAAGCATATTGAGATTGGGGGACAAATAAAATGTCCTCCTATGCTGAAGTTTGCTTAACCCCCTTTGCTACAAAAAAAAATCTACCTCTGTTATATATAACTATTTAAGACAATATTAGATAACTAAAAATCAAGATACTAAATTTACAGTATTTTAAAATGGACTTGAGAGCTTAAAGTGGTTGTAAAGGCTCAAGGTTTTTTTTCCCTTCATGCATTCTATGCATGAAAGGAAAAAAACCTTCTCTGTGCAGCATTCCCCCCAGCCCCCCCCCCCCCCCCCAATACTTGATTCAGCAATGTGCACTGAAGTCTCAGCTATCCAGGACTCCCTCTTCTCATTGCCTGAGACAGCAGCGGGAGCCATTGGTGAGAAGATAGAGGGGGCGGGGCCAAGCCACAGCTTGTGTGAATGGACATGAACAGGAGGGAGGGGCCAGGAGACCCAAGAAGAGGAGGATTTTGGCTGCTCTGTGCAAAATCACTGCACACAGCAGGTAAGTATAAACATGTTTGTTGTTTTTAGAAAAAAGTATTGCTTTAAGTTAATTGAGGAACATTTAATGCAAAGGGAATGGGCTTTCATTTGGAAAGTTACCTCTAATGAAATCTGGAAGGAAATGCGGTTAAAAATTTTACATAAGGCGAATTACACCTTTAACATCCCTGTCCAGCTAACTAATCGAGTTAACCATCTGATTAAATGCCCACAGTGTCCCCATAATACACCTGATCTTTATTAGTTATTATGGGCAAGTCCACAGATCCAGCTCGTATGGTTCCAAACTTTGGGCTACTTTAAGAGGAGTTCCAGTGAAAATAAAAAAAACTGTAGCTGTTGACTTTTAAAAAATGGACACTTACCTGTCCCTCGATCCCGTGGCGTCCCCCCCCAGCCCGTATCGCCGACCGCCCTGTGTTCCCGACGCCGGAATCTTCAGGGGGCACCCAGCTGTGATAATTTGGGGCTTTACACCCGAGTGCTCACTGCACATGCTTTGTGAATGGCCCCGTGGTCTTCTGGGACCTGTCACATGTCCTGGAAGACTACAGGGAGGGAGGGGGGAGGACAACTTTGGCTTTCGATCACCTAGGCAGTCGCACCAGAAGTGGGAGGGGGTACCTGTCAATTTTGGGTACCTGCTCCCCAAAGATGCCATTCCTTAATGGGGAGCAGGGGACCAGTCCTTAAAGCGGAACTTCCCCTTTTGGGTGGAGCTCCATTTTAATCAGTTAACTGAATGGGTATACCCTCTTTCTCCTTCTTTGTTACTATTTCAAGCTATAGTTCCTCTGTAGGAAGGACAGCTCCTCTAAATAAAATTGAACATCTTGCTTTGTTGGTAATTAAAAATTATTATTAACAAACTGGATCACTCTGACTCTCCCCACGCTTATTTGGACCCTGTATCTGTTCAATACCCTGACACCTACACAACTTAGAGAAATTATTTTGCTATTTAGATACTCTAGATATTTTAATACAGAGAAATTAAAAGACTCTTTGGGCCCTTTGGAATTTTTCTGATTAAAGATGACCTTTTTTATTTGGAAAGCAATATGAGAACACTTTGAATTGCATCTTTTGACCCATTTATAGTTATTAGGGCAGAAGGCAGTTATTTAGTGTATTAGGGAAAGAACAATGATGGTCTTTGCCATTTTTGATTGCTGATTGATTTCCCTTTAGTAGAGTTATTTTGGATAAGATGTTTTTTCTAATATGTGTGCTATACATATACTGTATAAATGCATTTGTCTTTGTATGTATAAAAAAATTGCAAATACATATATTTTAAAGGAAAGAAAATTAAAAAAAAAAATTAATATATCAGTGTACAATATATAACCCCTTTACACTGTCATGAGGCAAGGCTCTTTGGAATGTAGGGAAGGAAGGGCTGCATGTGGCTTGCGGTTGTTGAGTTTGATATCTCAGCATGTACATGGTGGAGGTGTTCAGAGAGATGAGGCCTCTCTTACATCATTGGCTCATGGCACTGGTAGAGCAAGCAGGTGGCATAAGAACACTTAGTGGTGCGAGTGCCTCAACCTTGTTGCCAGAATGCTGCTACAGAAAGACAGGTATATCGAGACCAGTCTGTGCTGTGTTGCTTCCCCTTAGGAGATGACAGACAGGATACTGGACACAGGGATATCAAGCAGGTTATCATGAACAGGCCAGGGCAAGCAGAGCCGGTAACAGGTATTTAGGCCACAGAGCCCAGATTCACTAGTAATTCAATAGAGAAGACAGCACTGCCTATGTGCAGCTGATCAGTTTACATAGCCCATTTGGTGTCAGCATCACCAACAGGCATGCATGCATATTCTTGCACATACAGTTAGGTCCATATACATTTGTACACAAGCACAATTTTCATACTTTTGGCTCTGTATGCCACCAGAATAAATCAAAACAAAACAATCCAAATGAATTTGAAGTGCAGACTTTCAGCTTTAATTCAAGGGGTTGAAAAATATCAAAGTACAAATTTTAGGAACTGCAACCATTTTTATACATAGTCCCTCCATTTTTAGGGGCACAAATGTAATTGAACAAATGAATATAATCATAAATAAAATGTTAAATTTTAATATTTTCTTGAGAATCTTTTATTGGCAATGACTGCCTGAAGTCTGGAACCCATGGACATTACCAAAGACTGGGTTTCCTCCTTTCAGATGCTTTGCCAGGCTCTAACTGCAGCTGTCTTCAGTTGTTCTCTGTCTGTGTGTCTTTCTGCCTTTAGTTTTGCCTTCGGCAAGTGAAATGCATGCTCAATTGGGTTGAGGTCAGGTGATTGACTTGGCCATTGCAGAATATTCCATTTATTTTCCTTCAAAAGCTCCTGGGTTGCTTTTGCAGTGTGTTTTGGATCATTGTCCATCTGTACTGTGAAGCACCGTCCAATCAACTTTGCTGCAGTTGGCTGAATCTGGGCTGACAGCTTATCTCTAAACACTGCAGAATTCATCTGGCTGCTTCTGTCTTCTGTCACATCATCAATAAACACCAATGACCCTGTGCCACTGGAAGCCATGCATGCCCATGTTATCACACTGCCTCCACCCTGTTTTACAGATGACGTTGTGTGCTTTGGATCATGAGTTGTTCCAAGCCTTCTCCACACTTTGTTTCCCCTGTCATTCTGGTACAGATTAATCTTAATTTCTTGCTTCCAAAAAATGCTTTTCCAGAACTGGTCTGGCTTTTTTAGATGTTTTTGGCAAAGTCTAATCAGGCTTTTCTATTCTTCAGGCTTATGAATGGTTTTCACCTTGTAGTGAAGCCTCTGTATTTGCTCTCATGAAGTCTTCTCTTGATTGTAGACTTTGACAATGATACGCCCACCTCCTGGAGAGTGTCCTTCACTTGTCTGGATGTTGTGAATACGTTTTTCTTCACCACAGAGAGGATCCTGCGATTATCTACCAATGGTGTTGTCCATGGACGTCCATGCCTTTTTATGTTGCTGAGCTCACCAGTGCGTTCTTCTTTCCTCAGAATGTACCAAACTGTTGATTTGATCACTCTTAATATTGCTGCTATCTCTCTGATAGATTTGTTTAGTTTTTGAAGCCTTACAACGCATGATGTAGGTTCACAGCAATAGATTCCAAATGCAAATACCACACTTAGAATCAACTCTAGACCTTTTACCTGCTTAATTGATGAAGAAATAACGAAGGAGTAGCCCACACCTGGCCATGAAACAGCTTTTAATTCAATTGTCCAATTACTTTTGGTCTCTTGAAAAAGGAAGGATGGGTACTCTTAAGAGCTGTAATTCCCAAACCCTCAAATTAAACCTGAGAGTGTGCACTTTCAGCCCATATCCATTATATAACTAGAGCTTGAATATGTTTTGGTAACGACCTGAAAATCTAAAATTGTGCCTGTGTCCAAATATATATGGACCTAACTGTACACATGTGCATATGTATAGCTAGTGGCAACCTGTGATAAAAGGCTACAAACCAGCCTGTGCATGAATATTACATAAACTTACTTTATAGAAAATAATAAAGAAAGAACACTGTAGTGCTGTAGGGGCCTGGCAGAAGTAACCATATTGCACACATGGGGTCCAGGCATCTGACACTCCTGGAAGTGTCAGATGCCGCAAATTTTTAAGCAAGTTTAGCTCTTTAAAAGAATGAAGATCCAAGGCATGGGCAGCGAAACAGGTAATCATTGTTAAAAAGCTGTTTTAAACTATTGTGCTTAGCTCACCATCATTGGCCTAACTAAATCAGAACAATTGTGACATATAAGATAGCTGATGTAGAGATGTGTTGGCCCTTACTCAACATATCATGAGTTCTGTTTGATTTTTAGAACCAGGATAAGGGAGAAGCAAAGGATGGCTGTGATATAAGCTCTTTGGATAAGAAAAGTTCAAATGAAGACTGTAAGGAAGATGAAAAAAAAGTGGCCGAAACAACAGAAACATTACAAGATGTTGAAAAAGTGCTGACACCTATCAAATGTGAAAGTTTTAAAAAAAGGATCGGGAAGAAAAAAAAGTCAAACCCCATCAAAAAATGATTCTGACATGGAAAAGCCAAAAAAGCTAGAAGAGGTAGGAACGGAACAACACTTATCATTTTAGAAAATAGTGCCAGCCAGATATGCAATATTTGTTTTAGCATTTCTAAAGAAAATCTACCCCTAATCACAAAGATTCTTTGACATATACATACATGTAATTCAAAGATTTTTTTCAGTCATTTGAAATCTACAGCTTTTATTAACATACCTACTGATTTTGCCATGGAGGTCTTTTTACATGCACTTTCTGTTATGGGGTACCAACTGTCTCCCTATTGTGCTCCAGTCACATGCAGGACTACAAATAGCAGTGCTGAAATAAATTGTGCAGACATAGGTCACTATTTTCACTTTCAGTGACACACACTGTGTTGAAGGTGGGACCCTAAAACCTTGACATTTATGGTGTTTAACATGTGATGTTGTGCTCTCTAAATAAATGAATGAAATGAACACACTGGAGTACTGGTGACTATCTGTTTAGTTATTAGAAGCACCCACAACTTTCATAGGTCACATGCTGTTTGGAATGCAGCTTCCCCAGGTACTGTCATAGATTAATAGACACCAGAGACTGACAGCATATATTTACTGGTATCAGAAGCTGTTACTAAATTTTCCATACACTGCTATCATGCAGTTGATGATACCTCTGCTGCTGTTATACTAATCTACTGGCATCAGAGACTATCAAAGTATCTAAGCAAAAGGATAAGTTCACCCTTAGGAGCATGTTATATGGTACACAGGGGCGGACTGACGACTCATGGGGCCCCCGGGTAATAGGGGATCATGGGGCCCCTGTGTCCTTGCCTCAAAAAAGCCTATGAAAAAGGTACCAGGGGCATCTCATGGGGCCCCCTACTGACCCCGGGCCCTCAGACAGTGCCCGAGTTTCCAAATGGTCAGTCCGCCCCAGATGGTACACCCATATTTAGGGTGTAACAATTAACATGCACCTAGGTTTGCCTCGTATTGGAGCTAAAAATCCTGGTAAGCGCAATATTTACCTTCGGGTGGTGGGTGCTGTATTTCTATCTCCCAGACTTGGGTTGCAGAACATACAGTGCATCCTTCACTTAAATTGCTTCATCATTGGATGAATTCGTATCACTAATAAGACAGTCTTTGCAGAACCTTTGATGGACACTTTGTCATACTTTTATGATACTTGTGTTTGGCACTATTTGTGTTTCATGATTTGTGTTATGACTCCAGGTCTGTATGGAGGTAATGACGTTTGGTTTTGAAGCTGTAGGAAGTAATCACTGGACTACAAGTGTAGGAACATCACTGCACTTGTGTTCCATTGAGATCTACTAGTCCATCTGCCATGGTAGTTTTTCCATTCACTGTGAATGAACGGATGGCACAGCTGTGTGGGTGAAGCCACACACAGCCATTTTGAATAGAATAAAATAAAATAGAGAATGCTGCAGAGGTTTTAAGATAGGGGGCTGTGGAACCCTAAATATGGCTCTATTATAAAAATAGTACAAAGAGAGGAATTAGCAAACTGAATGGCAACCAGTAAGAACTATATTAAAGAGACCCTGGGTTGATTTACTAAAAACAGATGGGTTGTTCACTTTGCAAGGTCATTTTCCCCAGAGTTGAGTGAATGTAGTGAAATTTCACTTTGCAAAGAATACCCAATCATATGCATGGAAAAAAAACAGCATTTTTGCTTGCATGTAATTGAATGATGGGCATCAGCAGAGCTTCACCTCATTCACCAAGCTCTTGGAAAATTTCCCTTGCAAACTACAACTTCCCTTGGAAAGTGAACTGCTTATTCGCCTTTAGTAAATCAACCCCCCTGTCAGGAATGGACTAGCCAGCAATGGTGGGACTCACCTGCCTTTTGATCTGCAGTACCAGGGCTGGCCAGCGGGTGCTCCCAGCAATCAGAGACTCAACTTTGCAGCCAGCTAACACCTGGAACTGATTATGCTGGGGTATTTAAGAGATGGCCAGACTTGCAGACTCTGCCTTGGTGTTGTGTTTGTCCTGGGCCCTGTATCTGTCCTGCATCCTGTATCCTGTTCCTGCTCTCTGTTCCTGTCTGATTCTCTGCTGACCCTGTTCTGATCCCTGGCTTGTGACCCTGACCATCCCTCTGCCTGACCCTCTGTACCACGCTGCTTGCTACCTGTTCTGATCCCTGGCTTGTGACCCCGACCATCCCTCTGCCTGACCCTCTGTACTACGCTGCTTGCTACCTGCTGAACCTGGCCTGTGACCCCGACCATTCTCCGCTTGCTCCCCCTGTACCTACCTGCCCTATTGATATTGACCCGGCCTGCCTGACGACGCTTGCTTGTTTGTACTGTTATCTGTGGGTGGTTGGTTTGGTTTGTTTGCACTGTATTATGTTTTAGTATTGCACTGCGTTTATGGTTGTGTTGTTAGTGTTAATAAATTATATTGTTTATCACATATCTGAAGTCTGCGTTTCCCTGCGTCAGTCACACATCTCTGGTCACACCTGGGAGCCCTGACATTACACCAAGGCCAATCCTGGCCAGAAGTGGCTGCACAGGGAAGCCATCTTGGCTTGTTGATGGGAAGGATGGATCTGGATGAGGTTGAGTATTTATCTCTGCTAGTGCTTGATGACAGAGAGTATGCTTATCAGACTCTGAAGGAGTATCCCCGGGATGAACTGCTAGAATGTATACGGCTCGCTCATGTTCTAGTAGATCAGGGCACAGATTTCTCTATGGTGCAGCCATTGATTCAGGTTTGTGTTGAGTTGGTTTCATCTGGTTCCCCCGAATGCAGGGATGAATTTTTGCCACCATTTAGTGCAGACCAGGTAGAGTCCCTGGTATGGTTATTAGAGGATGATGTGGGTTACTTTCTGGAGCGTTATTCCACATGTTCACCACAGACACTAAGAGATTGTATAAACGCAGTGCAGTCATTGACCAGACAGTCTTTGTGTAAGCTCAGCTTTGTTCAACCCATACTGCAGACATGGACAGACTTGTTGCACCCAGCCTCAGTCAGCTTACAAAGACCCAGTCCTGCTTCTAACTCTACTCCTGTATTCCCAACAGCTCCTCCAGTTACAGCCCAGTATACTTGGCTATCTACCGCATGTCAGTACCCTGTTCCCACTCGCTGCACCTATCCTGCCTTTAACCCTGTAAAAAAGCCCTCTGTAGCAACTGCTCCCCCTTCTGTTCCATCCTCCAGTTCTTCTCTGTCTCCAGCTGCTCCATTCGTTTGCAGACCTGCGTTTACTTGCAGTGCTCCAGTAGTTAAAACCAGAAAAAAAATGAAAATTCTTTCCAACCAATACCATCCTGCCAGTATCCAAACCGGTGAACCTGCCTTCCGTGACTCGGCCTGAAGCCTCTACTCGGCCTGAAGCCTCTACTCGGCCTGAAGCCTCTACTCGGCCTGATGCCTCTCTTCAGCCGGATGCCTCTCTTCAGCCTGAAGCCTCTACTCGGCCTGAAGCCTCTACTCGGCCTGAAGCCTCTACTCAGCCGGACGCCGGCATTCAGCCTGATGCCTCTACCCAGCATGATGAACTAATCCAGCCTGACGATCCTATTAGGCCAGTTGACTCGATGCCCGCTGTTGATCCAGATGATCCGGTACCTGATCCGGTGCCCGCTGTCGTGCCAATTGACTCAGAGCCCGCTGTCGTACCTGGTGACTCGGTGCCCACTGCCTTGCCAGATGACGCGGTGCCCGCTGGCGAGCCAAATGACCTGATGCCTGGTGACCCAGTGCCCGCTGTCATACCTGGTGACCTGATGCCCGCTGTCGAGCCAGACGATCCAATGCCTGGTGACCCGGTGCCCGCTGTCAAGCCAGACAATCCGGTACCTGATGACCCGGTGCCCACTGTCGTGCCTGTTGACTCGGAGCCCACTGCCTTGCCAGATGACGCGGTGCCCGCTGTCGAGCCAAATGACCTGATGCCTGGTGACCCAATGCCCGCTGTCCAGTCAGACGATCCAATGTCTGACCCAGTGCCCGCGGTCATACCAGTTGACGCGGTGCCCGCAGTCTTGCCAGACGACTCGGTGCCCACTGTTCCGCCAGTTGACTCGATGCCCGCAGTCTTGCCAGACGACTCGGTGCCCGCAGTCTTGCCAGACGACTCGGTGCCCGCAGTCTTGCCAGACGACTCGGTGCCCGCAGTCTTGCCAGACGACTCGATGCCCGCAGTCTTGCCAGACGACTCGATGCCCGCAGTCTTGCCAGACGACTCGGTGCCCGCAGTCTTGCCAGACGACTCGGTGCCCACTGTTCCGCCAGTTGACTCGATGCCCGCAGTCTTGCCAGACGACTCGGTGCCCGCAGTTCCGCCAGTTGACTCGATGCCCGCTGTTCCGCCAGTTGACTCGGTGCCTGCAGTCTTGCCAGACGACTCGGTGCCCGCAGTCTTGCCAGACGACTCGGTGCCCGCAGTCTTGCCAGACGACTCGGTGCCCCGCAGTCTTGCCAGACGACTCGGTGCCCGCTGTTCCGCCAGTTGACTCGTGCCCGCAGTCTTGCCAGACGACTCGGTGCCCACAGTTCCGCCAGTTGACTCGGTGCCCGCAGTCTTGCCAGATGACTCGGTGCCCACTGTCGTGCCTGGTGACTCGGTGCCCGCCGCTTCGCCTGGGGGCCCGAGACCTGTTGCTCCGCCTGAGGGCCCGAGACCTGTCGCTCCATCTGGGGGTCCGGCGCCCGCAGCTCCACCTGAGGGCCTGAGACCTGTCGCTCCATCTGGGGGTCCGGCACCCGCCGCTCCGCCTGAGGGCCCGAGACCTGTCGCTCCATCTGGGGGTCCGGCGCCCGCTGCTCCGCCTGAGGGCCCGAGACCTGTCGCTCCGCCTGGGGGCCCGAGACCTGTCGCTCCACCTGGGGGTCCGGCGCCCCCGCCGCTCCGCCTGAGGGCCCGAGACCTGTCGCTCCACCTGGGGGTCCGGCGCCCGCCGCTCCGCCTGAGGGCCCGAGACCTGTCGCTCCGCCTGGGGGGCCCGAGACCTGTAGCTCCATCTGGGGGTCCGGCGCCCGCCGCTCCGCCTGAGGGCCCGAGACCTGTCGCCCTGCCCGGGGGGCCCGATGCCTGTCGCCCCGCTTGGGGGCCCGATGCCTGTCGCCCCCGCCGGGGGCCCGTGCCTGTCGCCCCGCCCGGGGGCCCGGTGCCTGTCGCCCCACCTGGGGGCCCGGTGCCTGCTGCCCGCCTGGTGGCCCGCTGCCTGCTGCTCTGCCTGGTGGCCCCTGCCTGCTGCTTCGCCTGGTAATCCGATGTGCCTCTGCCCGGAGTCCTGCCCGATGTGCCTCTGCCCGGAGTCCTGCCCGATGTGCCTCTGCCCGGAGTCCAGCCCGATGTGCCTCTGCCCGTAGTCCAGCCCGATGTGCCTCTGGTAGTCCAGCCCGATGTGCCTCTGCCCGGAGTCCAGCCCGATGTGCCTCTGCCCGGAGTCCAGCCCGATGTGCCTCTGCCCGGAGTCCAGCCCGATGTGCCTCTGCCCGGAGTCCAGCCCGATGTGCCTCTGCCCGGAGTCCTGCCCGATGTGCCTCTGCCCGGTGTGCCTTTGCCCAATGTGCCTCTGCCCGGTGTGCCCCTGCCCGGTGTGCCGCTGCCCAGAGTCCTGCCCGGTGTGCCAGTCTTTGATATCCCGCCAGTTACCAGACCCGGGCGGTGGAACATTTTGCCCAGCTAGGACTGTTTGGAGCGTCCTGAGGCCGCTCCTTGAGGGGGGGTACTGTCAGGAATGGACTAGCCAGCAATGGTGGGACTCACCTGCCTTTTGATCTGCAGTACCAGGGCTGGCCAGCGGGTGCTCCCAGCAATCAGAGACTCAACTTTGCAGCCAGCTAACACCTGGAACTGATTATGCTGGGGTATTTAAGAGATGGCCAGACTTGCAGACTCTGCCTTGGTGTTGTGTTTGTCCTGGGCCCTGTATCTGTCCTGCATCCTGTATCCTGTTCCTGCCTCTGTTCCTGTCTGATTCTCTGCTGACCCTGTTCTGATCCCTGGCTTGTGACCCTGACCATCCCTCTGCCTGACCCTCTGTACCACGCTGCTTGCTACCTGTTCTGATCCCTGGCTTGTGACCCCGACCATCCCTCTGCCTGACCCTCTGTACTACGCTGCTTGCTACCTGCTGAACCTGGCCTGTGACCCCAACCATTCTCCGCTTGCTCCCCCTGTACCTACCCGCCCTATTGATATTGACCCGGCCTGCCTGACGACGCTTGCTTGTTTGTACTGTTATCTGTGGGTGGTTGGTTTGGTTTGTTTGCACTGTATTATGTTTTAGTATTGCACTGCGTTTATGGTTGTATTGTTAGTGTTAATAAATTATATTGTTTATCACATATCTAAAGTCTGCGTTTCCCTGCGTCAGTCACACATCTCTGGTCACACCTGGGAGCCCTGACACCCCCTGTCTCTATAGTAAGTAACTCTGGAAATATTTACCTTTCCTGCTGCCACCAAACACTGCTCCGTTGCTGAGAAATCTTCTGCTGACATCAGAAGGGGAACCAACACTTCCAGGAGTGTCGATCCATAGAGTTCCTCGCAGCTCTCACTGTCTGTCCTCCACCCATTACAGGATAAAGTAGTGATGTGGAGGTTAACCAGTGAGAGCTGCAGAGGACCCAGGGGATTGACACTCCCGGGTATCAATTTCTCTTTAGACTTCAGCAGAAGATTTTTCCTGGAAGGAGGTGCTTTTGGTGGAACAGGTAACAAGAAAGGTAAATATTTTTAGAGTTTTTACACAGGAACTATTTGGATTAAATTATTTACTGTTGCTTTGCCCTGCATGGGCAAAAAAAAATATTTAGAAGAATCATACTCTAACCCACTAGTTTTGCATGGAAAACAATAAGTAAGCTATATTAAAAAAAAACAAAAACTTACTCATAAAGTCCCATTTCACAGATTTGATATTCAGAGATTTGCAAAAAATACTTTCATGTTGCACTTGCTATGCCCAAATGAATAGAAGTCTGAATGTTCTGTCTAAAGTGCATGGTAAATGCTGCCATCTCGTGGTGATCTACAAAACAAGTTCAAATGGTAATTTCTACCACAGAATTGACAGAAGAACCTATAAAACATGTACAATGTATCTTTTTAAAATATATTTATTATTTATATTTGGTCTTTTTTCAGAACACAGAACCGCTTAGAAGAATTCTAGAGCTAAATAAACCAGAATGGTTATATATCATGGTTGGAATTGTAGCAGCTTCAATCAACGGGGGAATATACCCAACATTTTCTGTCATTTTTGGAAAAGTGATTGGTGTAGGTGACAACTCCAATGTAATGTAGCAATCACCAAATTTGTTTTTTATGGATTCGAAGGGAAATCATTATTTATACTTCCATAAGAGGAAGTATATCTCTGGGGTGAAATGGTAATGGACTGTTAAGACAAGTATTGCTGATCCAAGACAGTGATACAGGACATTATCAGGGTTGTGATCACCGAACAAAGTTTCCATTTAAATACATGTAGGCATGGATGAAACTTTCTTTTTAGAATATGAAAATATTACCGGTGGCTTACATAGTCACAATAGGGTTCTTGTGCAAGAACACGTTTTGGATTCCCCATCTGGATATTACAAATTAGGAGCATGGTTAGGGCATCATTAGGCATGCCCTCTTATGTCTCCTCTGTCCAATAAGTGAGAAGTTTCCAGGTTTATGTGACAGCAGGGCAGACTCTTCACAACTGTCTAATCAACATCTCATTTACAGGGGCCCCTAAGTCTATGAAGGAAATAGCAGCTGCACAGTGTAAAGTAATAGTAGGTCTGTCCACTGATATTACAATGCTGTATAAATATACCTAGTTACGTTTTGACATTGTTTTCAAGGTACTGCAGGTGAAATCATTAGTTAACTACCCATTCTCAATACTGTCAGAGGCACTGATATGGCACAAAATGAAAATGCAGAATTCTTTTTTTAATATTTCATTTATGGCAGTTAGTATGAATGAGCTGAGCGAATGTGTACGCAAACCCTAATAACTGCCTAATTATATGCTCCCTAATTGGAAATGTTTTGTTATACCTGTTTTATAAAAACAAAAATATCAGGTTGCCAGAAATCTTGTTAGCTGATCACTTCCTATGTTTTCTGCCTATGTACAAGAAGTTATATAGATGGGGAGTGGAGGGATGAAGAGAGGTCTGTGTTCTTTGTAATGCCTCAGAAATTATGTAGGCTGGGCTAACACCATGTGCCTTGATATTCAGAGCCAAAATATAGTGCGTTGTCATGTCAAAAAGGAAGGTTGGGGCTAAATATATTGCTAGCACATCACCAGTTATTTTTCTGCACTTACAACATGCTTAAAGGGATACAATGTGTGGAAATATGCAGAAATGAAAGAATTATGTGTTTATTTATTTATTCATTTATTTTAGATTTTTCCATTTAAATATGTTTTAAGAATGAGTTACCTGACATTCCTTAAACATTTCAAAAACAAGAAGTTTGTAAAACATTCATATCTGTTGGCTTGTATTAGCTCATGTCTTTTTTTCAGATATGTGGTATGAGAAAGCACATAGGATTGAGGCCCATTCACACTTAAGCATTATGTTGTGTTAAGGCACACACTTTGCTGCATATTCTAGCACATAATAACATGCGCTGCATTAAGGCAACCCTTTCATTATCAATGGGCTTTCATAGCACCATGAAGGGTAAAAATATGACCCTTTTTTGACAATGCTACACATGCACATGGTATACATGTTGTGGTGCGCTACAGTGTGTTGTCTGTTACAAGAAAAGAAATGCCCGTAGCGGAAAGAGAAGGAAAGAAATAGTTCAGGGCAGACATGACTGGGTCTAGAGTGGTTAAGAAAAGACAGGATAGGGTTAAGATAGCTATAGGTGGGGTTGTAGGGATGGATCTTTCTTGATTGGTAGCTGGGGGGTGTAGGTGTGGTTTTCTACACCTTGGGGTGGGGGGTTTGGGGAGGGTCCTCACTCTGTGACGTGTGAGGAGAGAGCTTCCTTCCCGCCCTCCCTGTTTTTGTGGGGTATTATGTCACTCCCGGGGGGGGGGGGGGGGTTGTTATTCCGGTTTGGGTGCGGTTGTTGGTCTTTGGAGGTGGTACTGATTTTGGAAGGTAAAATAATGGTGTGGGACCCATCGGTGGTATGGTGTACCCGGGGGCATTCCAGTTAACCGAGGTTTAACTGGAAGGTGGTGGTGCTCCACTGCGGATGGTATGGTTGTCTCCGAGCCGGAGTGTTGCGGCTGGAGGCCTAGTGTAATATGGTGGATTTTGGTTCAGCTTTGATGCCTTCCAAGACCAACAACTCGGATTAGGAGTTTCTGTTTTAAGGAATGTTTTGTGTATTTGAAGTTTGAAGTGTTAATAAAAGGCCGTGTTGGCCATTTTACTCCAATTTAGTGTTATGTTTTTATTTAAAGTAATGCATAAAGGGGGTTGGTGTGGAAGAGTGAAATGGTGTTGGAGGGGATCTTGATTAGCCTATCTCTAGTGCCCTAGTCATGGCTCAACAACGCACTGCACACAGAGCAGGTGCATTGCCAATGTTTACGGCCAAGTGTGCATTATAGGATGCGTTACCACAGACAAGTGTGAATGAGTGACCTTACCTATAAAAAAAAAGTAGTATTTTACATGGGAAGTTTGTCAGTGTTGAGAATCAGACTTTTCATAAAAAAAAATGTTGACTTATTACTTTTGCAGATATTTCAGGAGCAGGACCCGGTCAAAAGGAATGAAAAAACTGCTTTATTATCATTAATGTTCCTTCTGCTAGGACTGATTAGCTTTATAGTTTATCTTGCAATGGTAAGTAAACGTGTGTGTCTATCTATCTATCTATCTATCTATCTATCTATCTATTTTTTTTTCTAATTAACTATTTCAGTTAATTTGAAAATCTAAAGCTAAACTCCAGGAAAACCAATATATTTTATTTATTTGAGGTACTTATATAGTGCTGTCAATTTATGCAGCGCTTTACATATATTTATACATTCACATCAGTCCCTAACCCTCAAGGGGCATACAATCTAACTTACATTCATACATTCTAGGGCCAATTTAGACAGGAGCCAATTAACCTACCAGCATGTCTTTAGAGTGTGGGGGGAAACCAGAGTACCCGGAGGAAACCCACGTAGGCACATGGAGAACATGCAAACTCCAAGCAGGTGGTGCCATAGTTGGGATTTGAACCAATGACCCTAAAACTGCCAGACGGAAGTGCTAACCATTTAGCCACTGTGCTGCCCCATAAGTAGTTTCACCTCTGTATATGTATGCATACTGGTATAGCTGTCAAAATAATTGTAGTTCAGTTCAGTCTGTCCTGGGATTAACATACACTGCCATACCACATAGCAACTCAGGTGACACCACTCACTTTTTCCTGGTTCAGCTTTGCATCGTCATATGTCACCTGCTTATTGGACAATGTAATAGTATGATCATCTCTGTCCAATTATTAGGGAGGTGATTCTGAAACCAGTAAAGCTGACTCAGGACATGGTCAAGTTGAATGAGGATGTAATAGAGGCTGGCTGTGCAGTGTGGCAGAGGTGTGATAAAATATCAGAATGGCTAAACAAAATGACAAATCTTTTACCAGGTAAAATAATAAACATATGTGCATTTCATAAAGCATGGCCAGATTTACTAGATTATGTGTTGGTGCATCTGTGGCATGTTAGTCCTTAATTTAATTGATTTAATTAATCAATGACCAAATATGCTCTTGTAGTGCAAATTGGGACAAGAAGCAACAGATCAGATCACTTAAAGACAATTAGGTAATTAAATAGTTACCCTGTTGGAAGAATGAACAGTTGGTCAAGTGATTTTTAGGAGAGGTCAGCAGTAGCAGCCTCCATGTTTCTCTCACTAAAGGTGTCCAGTTTTTATGGTTTATGGTATTTCATCATGTATTTGACATATCTCATTTTTACTGATGCATGCTTTGCTGGCTGTCTTAGTGTCCCAAAGAATCCCAATAATTTTTTTTTTAGATGAAGGGGTGTCATCACTGAACAGTGCAAAGGGTAGCACACACGGACCTCAAAGTATTTCTGGAGCCAATTTTTGGTTTTGTTTTCATTGGTTAAAACTAAGGTTTAAGGATTGCCAAACCAGCTGCTGACAAGGCCTGTGGTTGCAATGACACTGGAAAAAATATGATTAAGGTGTTTCTAAACCCAGGACCCTGCATACACTATACCTAGTCTCCCACAGTACACAGAACATGGAAATGCAATTAAATTAAAATAATAAATATAAACTGCTAAATACCTTTTCTCATCAGCAGTTAGAGCAGTCTTGTGACTTCTATCAGTGTTCAGCAGAGCACTGGTTTAAGCTTGTAGGAGGAGTTTTCTTTCTGCTCTATGAGGCTGCAGGACCCTTGAAATCTGCCTGGACAGTGCTGATTGGCCCTGTGCTGATCACATGCACTCTCCCTAGAAAAAAAACCTCTCTAGCAATAGACACCAAACTGAGCATGTGCAGAGTGACTCCGCACGCTATGTCTGATCAGGAGATAACAGGGGAACACTGGAAGAAGAGGTGAATCATAGAAGTCAGGATCGAACAGCACAATGCAGAGGACTAACCCTTTAGGTTCCAAAGTGAGTATATCAAGCATGCTTTACTGCATATACAGACTAATTTTACTGTTGTGGGTTTAGTAACACTTTAAGTTCAGTTCACTTCTGGTCTATCCATATTATTGTCAATCAAGATCTGATGAAGGGGGCACTCTTGGACCCTCAAAATGCATTGGATATTTTTTGGCTTGTCCCCCTGACTTTTAATGTATTTGGACCTTTTGCAGTAGTGTGGCTCTTTGGCACTGCAAGCAAGGAGACTGTGGGGATCGTGGGGTGTAGAAGCTGCCTTTCCAGGAGCTAGAATATTTACATTAGCATCAATACTTAAAGATAGCAATACCAGTGAGATAACTTTGTAGGTCCAGTGCTATCTTTCCCATTTCTTCAACTGTTCTATCGAGCAGGGACAGCCACACACTGAAATTTCAATCAGTGTATGGCCAGCTAACTTAGAAATGGAACTCAATTAAGGCGTTTCTTCGACTCATAATAGCTAGATACCCAATTAACTAAATTAATATCAAAACTGTAAAAAAAAGATATTTAATGTATAAGTCACATTCAAGAGATATATGACTATTTTTTGTAGCAATGTTTGAATTTATAAAACACAGTAAAATATAATTTTATGTCTTACAGAAGAGCTGACATCTGAACAAAAGTCATCAGTAAATTTACATAATATCTTCATGTCTTTTTTTCAGGGATTTATGTTTGGAAAATCTGGAGAGAATCTAACCATGAGGCTGCGATCCTTGTCATTTAAAGCATTGCTCAGACAGGTACATTCACTGTAGTTGGTAATGGGAGCTATTGTATGATACTTTATACACTAGAAATATAAACACCTTCCATACAGAATTATAGTCTTGTGTAATATTATTTCAAGTAATATTTTCTTGTGGTTGTGTGTTAAAGTGACTATAAAACTGAAGAAAAACAAATAAATAAGCCCACCCTTTAAGAGTCAGTTCAAACCAGAATGCAGGGCAGGAAACCTACGTTATGTGTGTGTTTCCCGCACCACATTCAAAATACACTCCATTTGTGATCTGCAGAGGGTGCAATAATAAGTTAATGAAACCCCAAACGCAGGTCGCAAATGCAGTGCATTTGCCTGCAACATATTGCATGGTACAAAAGTACCATGCAATCTGGTTGCAGTATGTTTCATTTCCAAACGTAGTGCATGCACTACTTTTGGTGCTGTACAATTTCAGAATGGGCTGAAATCGCACAGAACTGCATATTCCTAGTGTAAACCAGCAGTAAGAAAGAGTACAATACCTTACAGTTTTTTTGTATTAGTAACACATTAGCTTTAAACGGAACCTGTGTCCAGAACTATACAGACTAAAGTATTTACATATTCTGAACACACAATGAAAGCACTTTAAAACAAGTCTCCATTCACCTCTGTAGCTATAGGCTATAGGAGAAATTCATCTTCTAAATGCACAACAGAGGCACTAAAATCTCAGCTATTTCTGTGCCAAAGCTCTATCATAAATAACCCGTTTTTAGCTTTAGAAGCCAACTGAAACCTGACTTTAGAGTCATTGTGGTTAAAGTATATGTAGACCCTCAACTTGTAAAGCAACTCATACAGTTTAAAATAGAAATGATAGGCAAAACATTTGTGTATAGATATAAAAAAACATTATTAACACCCTTTTCTCCCTGTTTTTATAAGTGATCACATTCCCTCTGTTCTTAGCTGCATAGAAAGGTGGGGGTGGAGAAACAACATTATACTGGTCTTCCAAGTGAAGGGGGGGGGGGGGGGTCAGCACAAGTCTCATCATTGAAGGAGAGCAGACTGAGTTCTCAGCACTGCTAGAGAACTGACCACGCTGTGCTCTCATGCCCAGTGTAGTCAGTTTTTGATAGGTAAGCAGAAGGACTGGCAGGAACATCAGGGAATAAAGCCATGTTTCTCAAGTAATGGGTCGTGATCAGGGGTGGACTGGGCCACGAGGCAAGTGCCCCCCAGGCCTCTCTAATGCCCCAATAAAACATCCGGTGCCCTGACAACATAGCTTAATAAAAACGACCAGCTACACTAATATACACGTTATATTATGAAATATATATTTGTATTATTGTGGCCAGCCAGTCCCATTAAGGAGGTAAATGTGGGTTCTGAGGTTCCACAGGTTGAGAACCAATGCTTTCAAGCATATCTAAACCCCAAAAGAAAAGTGTAAAATATTGCAGCTTACCAGCCTTTAGGTGTGGTGGCTGAAATTGATTTCAATAAAAACTATAGCTATTTTCACTCCTTCACTGTATCTATGGAAAAGCAACATACCACCCTTGGACAGTAATTAATTCACCCACATAAGAACAGGTATATGGGACATGTCAAGCATTAATCTGCAGGGCATTCCACAGGTGGCAATCTCTTGGGCATCTCCAATGGACACAGAGAAGGGAAAAAAATGCAGGAAGAGAATGCACTCTCAGTATAGAATTTTTTGAACAGTATTGCACTTACACGTAATCAGTGAAAGCTGCATTAATAGAAAGTACCAGCAGGTGGGTACCTGGGTGGCAGTGTACAGGATGATGTGGGTAAAAGTGTCTCTGGTGGATGAATAAGACAGGAAGCAGTGCTGGGCAGTAGGGAACACAGATGGACCAACTCAGAGTACACAGGAGGCAACCTCGGTGGACCACAAGGAAGTGATCCACAGCCATCCGTCCGGCCGTGATGATGTTACATGTGACTGCAAAGGGGCATGGTATCACATTTCAGGGCAGAGTCCCCTTTCTCAAGCCTTACTGGCCAGTGTGGTACTAGATGTTCTCTAGTACTAGGGCCTAGATTTCTGTATTAGAGCACTCAAATACATTTGTAATCCAATAGTAAAGGGGTAAAAATTCCCAAATTAAATCCCACATTAAGGTGGTGCAGTCCGTTTAAGGAGGGGGTAACAAAATTGTGACCAGCAGCCTCTTAGCACAGCAGAAGGTCCCTGCACTCCAGGTGATCTCCATAGTTAATGGTGGAAAGGGTCTCCCTCCTCAAACCATTATCCAGCAGCAGTCTCTCACCTCCTCTGTACCTCAGGAATCACAGGATTAAGATTCAGCACAGCAGACTTGATACCGCAAGAACACTGGGCTCTCTAGTCACAAAGAAGCACTCCACACAGTTCAATGGCAGTCTCTCAGTCCATTAGCCAGCACTGTCTCCCCTGCTCAGCAGTACAGGGCTCAAGTGTAGCGCATTGTCCACACACAGACTATGAGTGTCTGTCCTGTAGCACTAGGCAGAGGTCCTCTTTACACTGCCCAGAGCCCTGGCTTCTTCTTCCATTTCCTCCTCCTGCCTCACACGGTCCTCCTGGGACTTGTAGCCCTACAATGGTTCTCTCTCTCTGCAAAGTCTCCAGATGAGGACTACACTACGCAGTCCTTCCTTGCCTAGAGGCAGGCTTTCCTCTTCTCTCAGCACTACTGCAGTCAATCACTGCCCCCAGTTGGTTCCGGGTTGGTGGGCAGGGTTTTAAAATGCTGTGGCTGCAGGTGCAGCCTTTCTGTGTCCACCTCTGGCTCTCTTCCCTCTCCCTGTGATGTTGCCCCACATGGTAGCAGAAGGGGAGAAAAAGAAAAGTGATTGACAGCCTTGGATGTGCATGTTTCCCTATAAGACTGTGCAGACGACAGGGGGCCTGTCCATTACCTCCATTCAGGTCTCAAATTACACTCAGCTCCATGGTCTATGCTGTGCACTGTGTGATGTCAGATCCCTGCCCTCTGGAGCTCAGAGATGCTGTGTAAAATGTGTAATTTAGGAGGCTGTAGAGGAGAGACTTCAATGGATATACTGTATGTAAGGGTTTACAACCACTTTCAATAAACTAGAGTGGGCAAAGAGGATCAAAACTTTTCTTTCACCATATGTAAACATTTAATGGTATTTAAAAAGTAAACATAGGAATATATATAATTCACATATCCCATGGATTAGTTATTCTGAGTAACATACATCTAACAAATTAATAATCTTGCAGGAAATGGGATATTATGATGACCATAAGAATGCTGTTGGTGTACTACTTACAAGGCTTGCAACAGATGCTTCTCAGATTAAAGGAGTAAGTATGAGTGACTTTTATATGTTTAGTATTTATTAAAAATTTTCAGGTTATTTTAAAAATAGTCAGTCCATCCAAAGTGTATGTATAACAAAAACCTTAGTAGGTAAGGGTTAAACCCCCTTTCATTTTATTTTTTGATGTCTGTGACCCGCTGTGGAGAGTTCTGCTCATATCCTGTCCTGGGGATTCAACAGGAATTGAGAGAAAATTTATCTTCCCTCTTGTCACTGGAAAAGATGTCCCTAGTGGAAGATTTCCCCTCTGTTCCTTTTCAGGTGACCATTCAAAATTTTTGATTTTCCCTTACTTATAGTCCAAGTGATAATGGACACCTGCATAAGGATAAGGAGGAGAGGGTAAATCTTCCAAGCCAGAATAGCAATAAAACATGACAAGGATTTTAACACTCCCCCACAGGGGCGTATTTACCACAAGGCAAACAAGGCACTTGCCTAGGGTGGCATTTTTCAGGGGGGCATCACCTCCCACCAGAAGAAGGGATGGAAGAAGGGACACACGCATCATGAGAACCAGGTGGCATCTGAGAAAGGCTAAAGGCTGCTTGATGGTGTATGTAGAGCCTGGCTCTCATTCCCACGGATGTCTGGAGCTGTGAAGATGAGTGTCTCTCTATCGCCGGCAGGGGGGTATTGGAAAGCTCTCCTGGGTGGGGGGCAGGGATGTTGTTGGTCAATGTTAGGCTCTCTCCACGGGAAACGGGAGGTTGTGTTGGTCGGTGTCCATGGGGGCAGACAATTTTTGTATCGCCTAGGGCAGTTCAAAACCTAAATACACCACTGCTCTTCCACATAAAACTAAAAAAGGTTTTAGCTATACATATACTTTATTTGGGGTCTGAATAGATGCTGTGGCACTGAATAGACCACCAGCTCTAATACTTGTTAAAACTCAGGCCAAAAGATCTTTGCACCTTCTAGTGTGACTGATTCAAGAAGCTTCATTGCCTCGCTTTTTTTTAGTTATTTTTAAGTTATTTTTAATTCAGCAGGGAAAGTGAGACTTTATAGTAAACATAGAAGAGCTGGAAACTCATACAAATGTAATCTATAGAAGAAGCCAGCAGGTAATTCAGTTACTAGAGCATCTGCCCCATAACATCTGTCATGTCAGCTTTGGGTGAACAGGCCTAATAGCAGTTTTCCAAATCATAGCTACTACAAAGTCACATGCTGGATCAAATAGCTCACTTGTTCCTAAACAACAGTGCAAATTCTTTACTCGTCTGTTGTTAATCCCTTTTGTGCTTCTTTTTTGTACCTCTCAAATACAGAACTGCTATTCTAGAGTTCCTCTCTCCCTTCCCATTGTCTGAATTTCTTGGAAAATTGCCTATTTATTTGCTTAACCTTTGTGCCGATAAACACTTCCAAATATATTTGCTGTGCTCAAACTTTATGACCATAGCTCATTCACCTTCAGTTAGAACTACAGTAAAGTATTTCATTCAAAGGAATTTTTGACTTTATTTTAATTTTAATTTAATTTTTTAATTAATTTATTTTTTTAAATTTATTTGTAACGCTACCCTTTGGGTAGGATACCCCTAAGCTCTGCACAGCCAGGCAGAAGGTATTTTTCTACACACACAGACGTGCATCCAGGAGACAATAACCAGTCCGTGGGCTTGGTTATGTTATTTTATTAGGGGAAATAAACTTGGATAGGGAAATAGGAATTATGGGATGCCCAGTTTGGCTTGAATCAATGAAGGGGGGACAACTTCCTCCCTATGTACAAATACAGATCCTGGACTGTTCTTTTCTGTGAAAGCCGGCAGTCTTTGCAGGACAGTAGCAACAGCCCTTTATGGGCAAGGACCTAGCAGCCCCTTCAGAAATCAACTTATAACTACATGCAGAGATATCTTCTCCCCCTGCAGATCTGCTCCCAGCTCCACAGCCTGCTTACACAACCAGCCCTCCTGGCTCCTCAGAAGATCTCCCAGGACAAGGATAAAAGATTGAGGCCAGTGCTGTCCTTTGAAAGCTTACTCTGTGTGGCAGTCTTTCCCCTTGTGGATCCCAGGGACTCACTCTGTCCCCCATTGTGCCAGGTCTCAATCTCATTCACACCTCAATACTGAATGTATCCTCCTGAGCCAGCCCCAGCCAAGCCTGGAGGCCGCCCCTCCTAGACCTAGAAGACCCCTTCCAGGCACTGACAGTCTTCTCAGCACTCCATCTTCCACCCGACCCCTTTGTCAGCCCAACTCTACCATATTTATGGGCCAGTCCACCACTCTACCAGGTCCTGCAAACCTGGGATTGGCCAGACTCCCATAAACATGCAGAAGATCTCCATCCCTTTCTGCTTACCGACTTCTGGAAGGTTCTATGGTCCTCCAGAGTCAGGAGCAGGTGATAGAGCCACAACCTGTGAAGTCATCCAGCTGACCTGCAATAACCCTACCTCAATCACAGACTCATACAGTTACCATGAGTCATACACAATGATTTTACCTACAATACATTACACTATTCTAGTAGCACACTAGAGGGTGCTACATTTATCAGGAATTTAGTACACTATACTTACAGTATATCAACGTTTATATGGTATGTATACAATCTGCAGTCCTGACTGATGCAGTATCATGTTTCATGCACAATATTCTTGTAAGTAATAGTATACATGATTGGTGACATTATCAGATTGTTGAGGTCCCATCAGAAGTCTGTATAAAGAATGCAGCAATATAGCCATTATGTAGTATATATTTATAGATGACAGAGAAATGCTTTTTCTAGCTCTTTATCCTCTTTCTGACCACCTAAGGCATATGTGTGGCACCAGGGTGGGTGGGCCTTAATATCTACGTGGCAGACGTGCACCACTACCAGCACACTGACCAAGCAGTCACTGACAGCTCCTAGTAAATATGAACAATCAGGCACTAGGGGAATGAGCTCCTGATCATATGATTGTTGTGACAGCCAATCACAGTGGTCACATGATCAGGAACATCTGCCTGTTGTTTTTCAGAACCCCTTAAACAGTTGGCAGGAGGCATTAGCAAGGGGTTAAAGTAAACCTGACCCAACCTAAAATGTTTCTAAGGTAACAGAGCTAAAGTGCAGATACCTGGTGGTGCTTGCAAGTACTTGTGTTTGAATTCAGTTCAATCCCAGTGAAGCCTTTTGGGTACTGGGCCTAGGCTGTGCATGTGGTCTCAAGTTTTTCAGGGAATAAAGGCTAAGTTCACTTTTTCCTGGGGTCTATGCAGTCAAGGTTCCCCAGTAGTTATTAAGAAACTGTGCCGCTTATTATCATACCTGTAGGCCATTTGTGCCCCGCTGTAGGACTGGACAAAAAACTCCCAGCTGGTAATCCCCAATGTTCTGATTTATTGCTAGGACTTGATAACTGTTGTTTTTCACTCCTGTAATTGTGGAAACGAGTGTCTAATGTTTATCACACCCTTGCAACAAAGCAGGATGGGAGTAACTACTCCTAACTGAGAGTTTTTTTGACCAGGCTTCCCATGGGGTCCAAATGACCTACAGGTATGACAATAAAATAAATGAACATTTTAGAAAGCTGCACAGTTTTCAAAACCTACTGGGGCCTCTTTCTGGAAAGGCGAATTTAACCTTTAAGGCCAGCCCCACTTACACCATGCCTTACTATGTATAATTTAACAGTCAAATACCAGAACTTCAGTGGGAAGTGGACACTAGCATCTAACATTTGAATTACAAAAAGTTGGGCATAGCGTCAGGAAAGGGTGGGGATGGATCTCCTGGACAGGCGTCAGAGCTCCACATATACCCAGGCCACAGGACTCAACATGGACACAAGCCATCTACAGTAGGCACCCTAAAGTGCCTGAACATCAGAATTGTTGGTATTGCTGTCCATTATCATTTGAATGACTTGCTTCGACGTTTCCCCTATCTCCAGTACAGAAGTGAAAAGGTTGTTCCTTCTCCTTGTTAGAAGAAGGGAATGATAGTACATTTGTCTGAGAGATTTTCCCGCATGTTGGAAATGGTGTAAGGATAAATGATCGTCCATTTTTTTATGCATGCTAGTCTCATATCAAAAATGAAGAGTCTATTACAGTTACCAAAATTCTCATATGACAGAATACAGCTTCGGAACTAATGTAATGTATTGTAATGTTTTCTTTTATTTCCGAGGATGCGCAGTCTTGGTCATTAGATTTTTGCGGGACAAATACTGTACTGATTAGCCGAAAATCACTTGCTTTGTTACCCTACAAAAAAAAAACATTTCATGCTTGTCCCTTCAGATAATTTTGCATGAACTCTCAAAAGCTGTATACGCATGAACAGATATCTGTCAGACGATCAAAGCACTAGTTTTCATATGATTTTGTCATTGTGTTTACGAAGCTTTACACTACCAAATTATTTGAGTATCCTTTGACAGTTGTCCTACAGCAGTCTTAAAGATATCTCCATAGGTCTATTAATCAAGCCTAGCTTCTGAGCCATCTTATGGGCCCTGGACTACTGTATATACATATGCCAAACGCTGCCGCAATTCATTTGACTTGTGTTCTTTTGCCTCCAGCTATACTGAAAATCGTACTGTTTATGTTAAAGTATATGTAGACCGCATCATTAGAGCCTCATATAAGCTTTGGAATGTTGATATAAATTCAAAACTTAACTTAATATTTTTAAATCTTCAGCTTTTATTAAAATAATAGGTCCTAGGTGAGGCATTTTTCTGGTATAGGGTCTGTCCCTGTGTTCCAATTCTGTTCCTGCCTTATCACCCTGTCAAACAAGCTTTTCATTGAGATAACATGGCCATTTCAACACTCATTACATGGTCCACTGTTCTCACCATCATGAAAGTTGCCCTTAGAAATGATGCAGCCATCACAAGAGTACAGTGCATGCAGACAGTAAGGGGTTGATTTACTAAAACTGGATCACACAGAATCTGGTGCAGCTGTGCATGGAAGCCAATCAGCTTCATACTTCAGCTTGTTCAATTAAGCTTTGGCAATAACAGCTGGAAGCCGATTGGTTTCTATGCAGAGCTACACCAGATTTTACACTTTCCAGTTTAAGTAAATAACCCCCTTAGTGTCTGTAAAGAGACTGTAAGAGATCAGTAACCCTGAGATGCAAAAAAAGGATGGAAATGTGAAAACAAGTATTTTGTTAAAAAAAAGATGCAATAGTCTTTGTTTGACAAGCTAGATGCCGTTCATTTAGGGTTTATATCTTAACTCATAGAGCATGTATTGCTTTATATGCTCTTCCAGCCATAAATGGCGATATGAAGCATTGGCTTAAATAGTGTGGTGTCCTCTCTTATGTTGGCTACTGATACAACAATTGTCATGTGCTGCTTGAAGATTTATTTACTTTAAAAGAGTTTGTCTTTCCGCCTTGCAGGCTACTGGGAGCCGACTGGGATTACTCACAATGACAGTGTGCACTCTGCTTGCCGCAATCCTCATTGCTTTTGTACATGGCTGGCAGCTGACACTGCTTATCTTGGCCTGTATTCCATTCTTGATTGGAGCCAACATCATTAGGCTGAAGTCTATAGCAGGACACGCATCCAAAGATCAAAAGGCCTTGGAAGAAGCTGGGAGAGTATGTTTTTTTTTGCAATCTCACATTGCAGACAATGATATCATCTTTGAAAGTGTTCTGAATATGTGCGTCTATATTACTGTATGTGTATATATACAGTACGTATTACTATATTATTTTAAAACAACACAAATGGAACAGAATGTATACATGTAAATTAAATTGGGTTTATGTATAATTATTATAATAATATTATAAAGGACTTATATAGCACCAATAGTTTGCACAGTGCTTTACAAAATTTAAGGTGACAGTACAGTTCAATACAGGAGGATCCAGAGGGCTCTGCTTATGAGAGCTTTCAATCTAAAATGTGTAAAAGAAAATCTCCATTTTTGCTAGTGAATATTATATAGCATATGTGATTACTACACAAGACATTTTGTATATAATGCTATTAAAATGACCTTTCTACTGCAATCTACAGCAAGATATGATTTTTTAAACTGATGAACATTCAAATGTGACTTCCTTGCAACCATACAACTAATCCCCAGATTTGTTTTTATCCTGTTTGTGAAATTAGCTCACTGAATTTTTCATTCATAATTTGGAAGTGTCCCCTAAAACAGAGTTTAATGTCTAAGATAGCAGCCAGTCAAATCTACAACTGGTGCCATAGATGGATCAATTCAGCCGGTTCAGCAGGGATTTGCTGAACTTTGATCCATCTATGGCCATTCCTGCTCGACAGAAGTTCATCTACTGAGCTTTCTTTTGGTGGTATTTAATCACCACTGGGTTTTTTGTTTTTGTTTATTATATAAGAAAAAATACCAAACATTGTAGAAAAATGTTGTCTTCGGGTCTGTTATATCATTTTTTAAATAATCTTTCTTCATCAATTAAGGCCAAAATGTATTATACTACATTTCTTTGGTAAAAATAACCCAAATCAGTTTGTAATATTTAGTCTGTGTGAAAGTGTAAATTCTAGCAACTATGGCATTTACTCATACTTTAAATTGGATCAGTCCTGATGTGACTGCCTATCTCATTTCTTGAGGCCCTAAAATGCCAGGACAGTACAAATACCGTCCAAATTATCCTTTTTGGAAAGTAGACAGTCCAAGGTCTTTAGTAAGAGGCATGATGAGTTTTAGTTGTATTTTTTTGTCACAATTATTTGGAAAGTGAAAAAATTTAATAAAATGTGTTTTTTTTTCATAAATTTTCCACTTTAACAAGTTATTTCTTGCACGCAGCATAGGCATACTCATAATTACACTCCAAAACACATTCTGGCATGCTTCCCGAGTATGGGGATACCACATATGTGAGACACTTTCACAGTCTAGATGCAAAGAGGGGCCCAAAATCCAAGGAGAACTTTTGGGCCTTCAAGCAACATAAATTACGCATCTTAATTCCTGACTACGTAACACATTTTTGGAGGCCCTGGACCACAAGGACAGTGGAATCACCCACTGGATGACCTCATTTTGCAGAGCAAACATTCCATGGTATTTTCTGTAAGGCAGGATGAGTCCTTGGAAAATTAAATTTTTTTCCTGCACATTTTTGGAAAATGCAGGAAAAAAAAATATGTTTTTTTACACACAGATCATAGGCATCATTCCAGCACACATCATAGGCATACTTAGAATTACACCCAAAAACACATTCTGCCACGCCTCCTGAATATAGCAATACTCAATGGCAAGGTATTTTCTTAGAGGCATGGTGAGTCTTTTAAAGACTCAATTTTTTCAGTTTTTAGAAAATGCAGAAAGACAATGAAAAATATTGTTTTACACAAAGTTGTCGATTTAATAAGATATTTCGCATACACAACAGGCTTCCAGGTTTTATTTGCAAAGCTTAACTGAGCAAGCTGAAGTTAGAAGCTGATTGGCCACCATGCACAGCTGCACCAGGTGCCTGTGATACTTTGGTGCGGTGTAGTATGATTTTGTGCCCCATAGAGCTCAATAACAACACACCAAAAATGCACCCACCTGCTTCCTAATAACCAGTGGAACATTGTCTTTTATTTATAACAAGAGGCATTTTTTTGCTCAGAATTATCATGTTACTTGCTATTCCCGACATATGCCCAGTTGTTTTATGTGATCTCTCACAGCTCCATTTTACACTTTCAGCTATGTGTTTTTTTATCTTTTATTATTTATATCTCCTTTTCTCATCTTATTTAGATATCAACCGAAGCTGTGGAAAACATCCGGACATTGGTGTCACTAACAAAAGAAGATGCTTTTTATGAAAATTATAATGACAGTTTACAAAGACCATACAGGTTAATGGATTTTTAATAACTTGCTTTGGCCAACATGCAGGCTACTCCAATCACCACTCAATTCTTACAGCTGAGCTCTAGGCAGATATAAAGGATATCATTAATGCAGGCCTGTATTTATCAGTACATCATCAAATTTATAATAAATAACCTTGTTGGGGTTGTTTTGCCTTCTGTGTCCCATAGCCAAATCAGGAAGTGAGAGGAAATCACTCCAAGGTGATGGAATCCCTGGTTGTCACCAGGGTCACCAGAACTAGTGTCCCCATTGGAAGATTTCTCCACTATTCCTGTTTTGGGATAACCCAAAATTTGGGATTTTCTTTCACTTTTACTGGTAACAGTAAATAAGACAAATAAAGAGGGTGAATCTCCCTAATGGGGGGTGGGCACAGACATCAATAAAAACCTGGCAAGTGTTCTAATTACTCTCCTCTCTGTCAAAAAAAAAAAAGCTTTGCCTTTAGTTATACGTTAACTGCTTCCCATCCGCCCTATAGCAGTAATACTGCTACAGGGTTGCACGGGTGCACAAAATCATGTATATATAAGTGATTTTGCATTTCCGGTCCATGCATTCTTATGGACAGTCAGGTGTAAATGGACTTGTGTTCGTTTACATCTACTTACCATGTTCGCTCTGCAGAAACTGAATGGACACAGATCTGTCATCCACCCACTCTGCTCTGATCAGCAGGGTATCTGTGAGCGGATCTCTGGCTGATTGAAACGGAATCCACCTCATGTGAAAGGGACCTTAGAAACTTGCCAAGAGTCTTTGTTGTGAACTTTAGGTTCCTTCCACATGGATGGATGTGAACAGAAGATTCATGTAAGGCTGGCCATAGATGCCTGCTTTTTTTTTTTGATCGGCCAGAGGGATGACTGAAAAAAAAACCCAACAGATTCCCCTGTACACAATCAAGGTAGATAAAGGAATCATCCCTTCTGTGTCAATGTATTTTGAGAGCGGGACTCCTCTGCTGTCAGAATACACTCATCAGTTTGACAAAAATTTTCAAACAGTCCTGCTTGAGAGAAGTTGATCGCTTCTGTCGAGCAGTAATGGCCATAGATGGATTGAAATTCAACTGCTCCCTACTGAACCTGTTGAATTTCGATCCATCTATGGGCATCTTTAGTCTATGGGCAGGTGGATGTTTAAAAAAAAGTGTGTCCATTTGCTTCCAATTACCTACGGTTCCTTCTAGGTCTGAAAAAAAAAATGGAAAAGATTTGCATCCTTTTTGAATTTTTTGGACATAATCATGATGGACCTGAGATAGTTAGATGTAAAAGGACTGTTGTCTGCATAAAAAAGGGTCTGCTAAGCTCTGGGAGGGCATAACTGAACAGACATGGATATCAAAAAAGTGGCATCTGCACCATGCAGCTCTGATTCAGCAGATCTCTTCATGGATGATAGATCAGAATGGCTGGTGTGAAAGGGCCCTTAGAATAAATAACTTCACATTAAGAGCAGCTAAAGAAGTTAGGTTGGCTTATTTTAAAGCTGTTTTACTGCCTGTTTGAAATATGTAAATAGTTTAATGTCCATAGTTTGGGCACAGGTGCCCTTTAATGATCATTGCCAGAAAGAAATATGTGAAGTGTCACTGATATTGTGGTATTTCTTTGTTTTATTCTGATAGAGATTCTCTTAAGAAAGCTCCTCTCTATGGAATAACCTATGCCATTGCACAGTCCATCAATTACTTTGTGAATGCAGCAGTTTTCAGATTCGGGGCCTGGCTCATAGCACACTGCTACATGCATTTTGAAAATGTTTTTATGTAAGTATTTGATTTACAGGTGTCTGTATCAGCTTGACAAACAGAAAATAGTTATTCTGAAATAAAAACCAGCAGATGCTTGCAATACCATTGACAGTCCTGGATTTGTGGGACAGGTATATAGACAAGGCCAGGAGCTGTCTAATATTAGGATGCTTCTATTTGTTTTATCACAATTCTTTATTTGCTTATTTAGAGCCAAAACATTAGAAAAACAATAATTCATCTTATGTAGAACATAGATATGTACAGTATAATGTATTCTTTATATTTAGAGCCAGGGGCAGACTGCCAACTCATGGGGCCCCCGGGCAATAGGGGATCATGGGGCCCCTGTGTCCTTGCCCAAACTCAAAAAAGCCTATGAAAAAGGTACCAGGGGCATCTCATAGGGCCCCCTACTGACCCCCCAGGCAATAGGGGATCATGGGGCCCCTGTGTCCTTGCCTAAACTCAAAAAAGCCTATGAAAAAGGTACCAGGGGCATCTCATGGGGCCCTCTACTGACCCCAGGCCCTCGGGCAGTGCCTGAGTTTCCAAATGGTCAGTCCGCCCCTGTTTAGAGCTCACCCCTGAAGGGATCACTGGAAATAAACTGGGTCTCCCTTACCTGCTCAGTGGTTGCTAGCTCAGGTACAAGTTCCAGAGCACACTGGCAAAATTCAGGATCAGTCTAGGGGTGTCTTTTTTTGAATATTTATTGCAGTACTTGAACACAGGGGGATAGAGAGATGAGGGTGCAGGACACTCATGGCACTCACAGTTATAAGAGGACACCTTCCTTAACGAGCCTTGTTCCAGCACTAAGAGAAAAGGGGACAGCCAGCAATCTGAGACTCTATAAGAGCAGTCCCAGTACACTGCAGCATCCTCTAGCGTAACTTTATGACCCCAATGTACTAACTGCCAAAGACATGTAGAGGTCACACTCAAAGCCTGTATAAAACCCCTTGCCTCTGGAACTCGAAAAAGGAAGCCCATCCATGCACTACAAACTCTTCAGGAAAGCAGAAAGTTGCACAAGCTTGACAAAGCATACTGCAGCCCAGCCTAGGACTGCTTCTAACATTTCACTCAATACATGGCCAATCGACTGGGCGGGTTGTACAATCTCTCCTAATCAATATTGTCTTGCTGTGGTAGTATCTCACCTTCTTCCCCCCTCCATCTCAGTTCAGTTGTGTGCTTATCAACCAAACAAGCCAAGATGGTCACAGGAGGTGGTTGGATTGTGCATGCTGGTTGAACAAACCTCCAAAGTTTATGATTACTGTTGGCAATTGATGTTGCCATACAAAAGTGGTTACATTTATGGTTGACTATTAAATTGTGCTTTCTTTTTTAATATGTTTTTGTAGAGTGTTTTCAGCTATTATGTTTGCAGCTGTGAGTGTGGGGCAATCAAATTCTTTTGCACCAGATTTTGGAAAAGCAAAGGCATCAGCTCAACGTATTTTTCAGCTTCTGGACAGAAAACCAGCTATAGACAGCTACAGTGAAGAAGGAAATACTTTGGTAAATAAGTGTTTTTTTTATTTCTGTAGAATGTTTACTTCTATTAAAGTAAGCACTACCAGATATCATAGATACAAAAAAGTATTTCTATTTAAAAGCAGTAGGTGATTATCTGTATTCTGAGTGGACTGGGGGAGATTTACCATGACTGTGTTGTGTTGTGAAGTGCAGCAGAGGAGATCTTAATACAACAAAAACAAAAGACAACAAACAATAGATGTCACCCTCCAAGTTATGGTTTCACGATCATTTAATTTAGTTAGAGCACAAGCCAGCCACACAAACTCCACCCTCTCATGCATTTCATTCTGAAACGCGTTCAATCATAAAGTCTACAACTAAGCTCTTCACAGTAAAACACATCAGAGGGAGGGGTCTGTGTGGGGGATGAGCCACAAGAAGCCAGCATTAGAGGAACTGGAATATTCAGTTGTTATCACTTTCATACCCCCTTAAGGTACTTTCCCCCACCTGACTACCCCCTTCATGTATCCTGGGCTCTGCTGCCTATCCTGTGAGCCTGGGAAGAGCATGGCAGGTGAAACAGAGGGAAATCAGCGAACACTCATTCACAGATCTCCCCTCTGGAGAATGAACCTGAAAGCAATGAGCATTCTGTCACCTTCAGGTTCACAGCTGTCAGTCCCAGGCAGAATTGATCGAACACAATCTGTGCTTCATCAGCTTTAGTGAGGTCCATAGGTGACACCCAGCATACGTATATAAACATCCTAGGCTTGTACCGGTTGAACCAGGATGTGCAGTCTCTGGGAAACATGGTCTGAATCTGACTCCCTATTTTTTTGTTTAGAAATGAAAAAGGAAAAAAAAAATCTTTTTTTTCATAAATCATATTTTGGTTTTAAACAGAAATATTCGCATGTGGTTTCCATTAAAGATATTTATGATACTGCTTCTTAAACTTATCCTCACTCAGTTGCAAAATTGTTAAGGGAATTTGATTTTTTCAAAAAAATTTAAATACATGTGTTCCTTTATGTAAAATAATTAGAATGCTTCCTAAATGTATTTAACTTGTGGAGAATGGAAGGAGATTATAATATATGTTGCTTCTTGTGGATTTTACAAGCTAACACATAAATGATAATGATAACTACAGACAATCTTGAGAAAGTCCACAAGGCCATCACAGGGAAATGCAGCAATTTTAAGTGAGAATGTGATAGTGATTCTTCATGACAGAAATAATAAATAATATAAATGAGTAGGACTTGAAATATGAAATCAGATGCTCTCCATCCCTGTCCTGTGGTGGTGGTTGTGGTTTAGTGTCAGCTCAGCCAGGAAACAACATTTCAATCTTCATAAAAACATCAATTCTCATGGCTTCTCATCTAAAAGGTCATGTTCCTCTGCCCTGAGAGAGTATACTAGAGAGGACATAATCTGAAAAAGTTATTGTATATAATCAGTTGACAACCTGAGATTTTTAGCAATTCCTCATATAGTCCACTAACAGAAAAAGGTGGAAATAATGGTTTGTTTGGTTATTTAACCAGTAAAAATATCTAGTTTTGATAGAACAGATTGTGGCAACATATAGGCTAGGCCTGAAGAAACTCTAGAGATAGACCTTACTAGTCCCCATTAGCATAGTGATGGCTTTAAATATTGTATGCAGCTTATAGCAATGTCTACACATCCAAGCAGCACCAAAAAACGTGGATCAATTGCCCCTGGTCACCTGTTTGAAAAGACCCTAACAATGTTCATTTAACCACTTCCCCTACAGAGGATTTACCCCCCTTCCTGACCGGGCCATTTTTTGCATTATAGCACGCCGTTACTTTCACTGACAATTGCGCAGTCATGCAACACTACACCCAAATTAAATTTGCGTCTTTTTTCACACGAATAGAGCTTTCTTTCAGTGGTATTTGATCGCCTGTGTGTTATTTTTTTGTGCCATTAAAAAAAAGACTGACAACTTTGAGAAAAAAACTGTATTGTTGACTTTTTGCTATTAAACATGTCCAGTAAAAAAATGTTTAAAAATCTAATTTTGTCATACATTTAGGCCAAAATGTATTCTGCTACATGTCTTTGCTTAAAAAAATCCCAATACAAGTAAATTAATTGGTTTACGTTAAAGTTATAGCGTTTACAAATGGCGGTATATATACTGGGATTTTTTTTTATTTTTACTAATAATAGTGGTGATAAGCGACTTATAGCAGGACTGCAGGACTACGGCGGGCATTCTGACATTGGGGCAACTGACTTGGTGTCACTGACATCCCCAGTGACGCCAATACAGTGATCAGTTTTAATAAAAAGCACTGACACTGTACTAATGGAACTGGACAGGAATGGGTTAACTTGAGGGACAATCAAAAGGTTTGTGTGCTGTGTGCCATTTTACATAGTGTGCTGTGTTTGTCCTTCACTGTAAGCACACTGCTTTGCATGGCTGTGCTATGCACAGCCATGCAAAGCAGTGTGCAGGATCTGACAGGGGAGAGAGCTGTAATGTTTACAAACAGGTCTCCCCCCCATCGGAGATGCTTGGCAATCACTGGGCGCTGGCGAGTAATCACCGGTCGGGACCCCGGTGATTGACAGCTGTGACCGTGAATGGCGGCGTGGGTAGGACACGCGCTCTCACCCCCTACCCGGAACAGCAAAAATCATGTATATATACGTGATTTTGTGCACCAGTGCTACCCTGTAGCAGTACTTCTGCTATAGGGTGGACTGGAAGCAGTTAATTAAAATTTTTGTCAACCTTAAAAATAACTGGGTATGATAATACAATGTTTTGTCTCATATAACTCCACTGGAAACATGAAAGTAAACTGAGGAGGCCTAAGGGGAAATGACAAAGTAATATTAGACTTCCTTTTAGGCCTTGTTTACAAATAAGGCATAAATGGGCGGTTTAGCTGCATTTTTACTGCTCTCCAACCACTCATTGAAAAGGCAGCTGGTGGGGGTCACACACATGAGACAAAAAGCATTGCAGCCATTCAAATTTAACTTGGCTTGCCAAGTTTAACAGGCAGCTCCACCTATCAAACACGCCCAGATTAGTCAATAGGACCATGCCGCAAACATGGGCAAAACATTATAATATTACAATATTATTAATAAACAATATAATATTAACAATATTATTTCTTAAAATGGATTCTTTAATGATGAATGGAATAGATCAACAAGAATAGTACCAAGGGGTACATGGTTCTGTTTTGGGAATGAACATTGCCATCCATTTTGTCAAGAAAAAACTGTTTACATTTTGTTTATCATTTTTGATTAACTTAAGTCTGCTGAAATAATACACTTTACTGATATCGCTGTATATTTTTGTCTTTGATTTTAAAGGACGAGCTGGAGGGAAATCTTGCATTTGACAACATTAGATTTGTATATCCAACAAGACCAAATGTTCAAGTTCTTCAAGGACTCAGTATTAAAGTGTCTAAAGGCCAGACACTGGCATTAGTGGGGAGCAGTGGCTGTGGAAAAAGTACTTTGATTCAGCTACTGGAGAGGTTTTATGACCCTGGAGAAGGACAAGTGGTAAAATATTTTATTAAGGATCTTCTTATTATTCTCCAAAATATACACCAGTAGACACCTACACCTAGCCAACCCTTTTCTGACTTGTATGCTTAGTCTTGCATTCTTAAAGTGTAGGCAGATATAACTACCCAATTGTTTACAGTCATTCATTTATCAAAATTATTTCCACTCATGTTATTATTACTACTTATAATTTAGAAAAAAAGTACCTCAACCAGCCTTTGTATTAGCCTCCTGCAATGCACTGCACATCTACATTCAGACAAAGACAGGAAGTTGCAATGCAGTCAGGATTTACTGAATTTGACACTTTCTGATTGGAGGAAAACATAAATTATCTTATTGGTGAGATGCTGTTCCTTAACTATCCAATCATTCTTGACCTATTTGTATTGATTTGAATGCAGTGGAGAAAAGTGAATAATCAGAACCTTGTATGGTGTATGACAGGGGTGTTTGGTACAGAGAACTGACTAAACAGAATTACACTTTTACAAATTTGAATTTAAACTTTGTATTTGGAGGTTTGCCTATATAAACATGTTTATTTCTATCTGTGCAAATAGTGTTATTTCCAACAATTATAACAGTGTTAGTATGCTAATTGTGTGAAGTATCTAATTATATTTTATATGATCCTTTTTTTTCTGTTTCTCTATCCTCCAAGCTGCATGTACACACATATAATCACTGGCATGGGAAAATTGCTCAAAGCCCAGGTTGGGACTGAAGCCGTGGACATTCAAATTCACAATCATAATAATTAGAGATGAGCGAATTATTCAAAAATTCGATTCGGCTGATTCGCCGAATTCGCGGGAATAAATTCGATTCGAGGCGAATATATTCGCTGCGAATTTAACTTATAAAAAGGGTGTTTCTAGGCTTCAGAGAGCCTTTATATTAGTGCAGAACACTGTACCTTTAATTTAAATGCCCTTGGAGTCTGCTGGGGAAGAGAAATAATACTGTCAGTCAGTATGACATGCAGATGAGTGCCGTCGATCTTAGAATCACCGCACACTTCACTCATTTGGGCAGTCACGGGGCCAAAACCAGAGTGTGGAGCCACAGTGTGGCGGTGGAGGCAGCAGCAATGGGAGGCCATACAGCACCCTATGACAAAATGGAACCCACCAGCAGTGTGAGGAGACCTGAAAGTGGCACATGGCAGAGTGTGGCGATGGAGACAGCAGCAATGGGAGGCCGTACAGGGACCCATGACACACTCTGGACCTGGCAGCAGCATGAGGAGGCGGTACAGGGGCCCATGACAGATTACGGGCCTGGCAGCAGCATGAGGAGTCGGTACGGGGGCCCATGGCAGATTACGGGCCTGGCAGCAGCATGAGGAGGCGGTACAGGGGCCCATGGCAGAGTGGCGGAGCGTAAGCAGCTAAAATTGAAGGCCATACAGAGGCCTATGTTAAAAAGTCCCCCCCAGCAGCAGCGTGGGGAGACGACTATCAAGAGTCCAATGGCAGAGTGGCGGAGCAGAAGCAGCTTCAATTGAAGGCCATACACAGGCCTAGGTTAAAAAGCGGAAGCCGTCAGCAGCGTGAGCAGACGACAGAGACACATGGCGCAGGGTGGCGGTGGATGCAGCAGTATTCGGAAGCCAAACACAGGCCTCGGTTAAAAAGCGGAAGCCGTCAGCAGCGTGAGCAGACGACAGAGGCACATGGCGCAGGGTGGCGGTGGGAGGCAGCAGCAATGGAAGGCCATACAGCACCCTATCACAAAATGGAACCCACCAACAGTGTAAGGAGACCTGAAAGTGGCACATGGCGCAGGGTGGCGGTGGAGGCAGCAGTATTCGGAAGACATACACAGGACTAGTTTAAAAAGCGGAAGCCATCAGCAGCGTGAGCAGACGACAGAGGCACATGGCGCAGGGTGGCGGTGGAGGCAGCAGTATTCGGAAGCCATACACAGGCCTAGGTTAAAAAGCGGAAGCCGTCAGCAGCGTGAGCAGACGACAGAGACACATGGCGCAGGGTGGCGGTGGATGCAGCAGTATTCGGAAGCCAAACACAGGCCTCGGTTAAAAAGCGGAAGCCGTCAGCAGCGTGAGCAGACGACAGAGGCACATGGCGCAGGGTGGCGGTGGAGGCAGCAGCAATGGAAGGCCATACAGCACCCTATCACAAAATGGAACCCACCAACAGTGTAAGGAGACCTGAAAGTGGCACATGGCGCAGGGTGGCGGTGGAGGCAGCAGTATTCGGAAGCCAAACACAGGCCTCGGTTAAAAAGCGGAAGCCGTCAGCAGCGTGAGCAGACGACAGAGACACATGGCGCAGGGTGGCGGTGGATGCAGCAGTATTCGGAAGCCAAACACAGGCCTCGGTTAAAAAGCGGAAGCCGTCAGCAGCGTGAGCAGACGACAGAGACACATGGCGCAGGGTGGCGGTGGATGCAGCAGTATTCGGAAGCCAACACAGGCCTCGGTTAAAAAGCGGAAGCCGTCAGCAGCGTGAGCAGACGACAGAGACACATGGCGCAGGGTGGCGGTGGATGCAGCAGTATTCGGAAGCCAAACACAGGCCTCGGTTAAAAAGTGGAAGCCGTCAGCAGCGTGAGCAGACGACAAAGACACATGGCGCAGGGTGGCGGTGGATGCAGCAGTATTCGGAAGCCAAACACAGGCCTCGGTTAAAAAGCGGAAGCCGTCAGCAGCGTGAGCAGACGACAGAGGCACATGGCGCAGGGTGGCGGTGGAGGCAGCAGCAATGGAAGGCCATACAGCACCCTATCACAAAATGGAACCCACCAACAGTGTAAGGAGACCTGAAAGTGGCACATGGCGCAGGGTGGCGGTGGAGGCAGCAGTATTCGGAAGCCAAACACAGGCCTCGGTTAAAAAGCGGAAGCCGTCAGCAGCGTGAGCAGACGACAGAGGCACATGGCGCAGGGTGGTGGTGGATGCAGCAGTATTCGGAAGCCAAACACAGGCCTCGGTTAAAAAGCGGAAGCCGTCAGCAGCGTGAGCAGACGACAGAGGCACATGGCGCAGGTGTGGCGGTGGAGGCAGCAGCAATGGAAGGCCATACAGCACCCTATCACAAAATGGAACCCGTCAGCACCAACAGTGTAAGAGACCTGAAGTGGCACATGGCGCAGGGTGGCGGTGGAGGCAGCAGTATTCGGAAGCCAAACACAGGCCTCGGTTAAAAAGCGGAAGCCGTCAGCAGCGTGAGCAGACGACAGACAGAGACACATGGCGCAGGGTGGCGGTGGATGCAGCAGTATTCGGAAGCCAAACACAGGCCTCGGTTAAAAAGCGGAAGCCGTCAGCAGCGTGAGCAGACGACAGAGGCACATGGCGCAGGGTGGTGGTGGATGCAGCAGTATTCGGAAGCCAAAACACAGGCCTCGGTTAAAAAGCGGAAGCCGTCAGCAGCATGAGCAGACGACAGAGGCACATGGCGCAGGGTGGCGGTGGAGGCAGCAGCAATGGAAGGCCATACAGCACCCTATCACAAAATGGAACCCACCAACAGTGTAAGGAGACCTGAAAGTGGCACATGGCGCAGGGTGGCGGTGGAGGCAGCAGTATTCGGAAGCCAAACACAGGCCTCGGTTAAAAAGCGGAAGCCGTCAGCAGCGTGAGCAGACGACAGAGACACATGGCGCAGGGGTGGCGGTGGATGCAGCAGTATTCGGAAGCCAAACACAGGCCTCGGTTAAAAAGCGGAAGCCGTCAGCAGCGTGAGCAGACGACAGAGGCACATGGCGCAGGGTGGCGTGGAGGCAGCAGCAATGGAAGGCCATACAGCACCCTATCACAAAATGGAACCCACCAACAGTGTAAGGAGACCTGAAAGTGGCACATGGCGCAGGGTGGCGGTGGAGGCAGCAGTATTCGGAAGCCAAACACAGGCCTCGGTTAAAAAGCGGAAGCCGTCAGCAGCGTGAGCAGACGACAGAGACACATGGCGCAGGGTGGCGGTGGATGCAGCAGTATTCGGAAGCCAAACACAGGCCTCGGTTAAAAAGCGGAAGCCGTCAGCAGCGTGAGCAGACGACAGAGACACATGCGCAGGGTGGCGGTGGATGCAGCAGTATTCGGAAGCCAAACACAGGCCTCGGTTAAAAGCGGAAGCCGTCAGCAGCGTGAGCAGATGACAGAGACACATGGCGCAGGGTGGCGGTGGATGCAGCAGTATTCGGAAGCCATACACAGGCCTAGGTTTAAAACTGGAACCCAGCAGCAGCGTGAGCAGACGACAAAGACGCACATGGCAGAGGATGGATCTGGCAGCAGTATGAGAAGGCGGTACAGGGGCCCGTGGCACAGTGTGGTGATGGGGGCTACAGCAACTGGATGCCAGAAAGTGGTCCGATAGGGCTATATACTGCATGGAATTATAAAGTTGTAAAGACAGCGGCCTATTTGTCCCTAATAACATGTTTGGGGCATGATTCATGGCGGATTTAGTCAGTTGTGTCAGGAACTGGTGGTTTGAAATCCAGACTAATCCACGCCTGATTCATTTTCACAAACGTGAGTCTCTCCACACTTTGGGTGGACAGTCGTGTCCTCCGCGGAGTTACAATACCTCCTGCCGCACTAAACACGCGCTCCGATGCCACGCTACTGGCCGGGCATGACAGCCTTTCAAGGGCAAATTCAGCTAGTTGGGGCCAAAGGTCAAGTTTCGTTGCCCAGTAGTCAAGGGGATTGTCTACCTCGGTTGGCAGGGTGCTGTCCAAGTAGGCCCAAGCCTGTTGTTTGAGGTCCTGCTCCAGGTCCACCTGATGCTGCTGCTGCTGCGGCTGGTTAGTAGTTTCCTCACTGCGCTGGTGAAGAAAGCTACTCATCATCGACTGCAGACTGAGGCAGCCGCTGCTGGTGGAGCTGCCACTGCTCCTACCACCCCACCCCCCCTGCTGCCATGGCAGCGGAACGCGAGCGCACAGGGCCCACAGTGTCTGAGGATGGACGTTGGCGCACAAAGGCAGAGACCAACTGACTACATAGGTGGTTTTTTATA